ATCTTGACCTTCCCCTTTAAAATCAAAGTTGGATGCTCCTGCATTTTGTTATTAATGCATATAGCTTAATCAAGATAAAATAAATGAAAACGTGTGCAAGCTTATGAATTGAATTTGCAAATTTACGAGTGTTGCGGCAATTGAAGCATGATGGTATAATTGCTAACTAAGAATCGTCCGTTATGTTGCTTGTCTTCAATGAAAAAGATCATGATCACTACAGACTAGGGGAAGAATTGATTTAGGTTGCAGCGAATAGCAAGTCGTTCGATCAATTTTGGTCATATCGTTCGCTCTTTAATTTCACTTTAGTCCTCGAGTGTTTTAATTTTTTATCAATAACACTCTTGATTTTCATTTCAATTTCATCCCTATTGGCTTTCAATTTCAATCTTAATTCCATTCAATTACACCCCTATTTCATTCAATTTTCAATCTAACTATTTTTAATTTCGAGTCCTTATTCCCTTCAGTTATATCCCTAATTAATGATTTCATGCAATTTTTTTTAAGGTTTTTCTATGTTTATACTTTTTTGATAAATTGATTATGTAATTAATTTTTTTATTTTTCTTTTTTCTTCCTTTTTTTTACAAAAATAAAACATAAAACATAAAAATTATAAAATTAACTAAAATAAATAAATTATAAAATATAACTAAAAAAATCAATGAAAAAAAAAGCTAAAAATAAATATAACTCAAATTTTAGTTTATGACGAACTGTCCTTCTTTACAATGCCTACGGTGTAAATGCCAATTGAAGTGTAAACCTCGGATTGGGTTTGCTTAGTGACATAATAAGGAAAAAGTAAATCAACTCGGAAAAAATTGGTCCGATTGTCCTCAATGACTTATCATAAAAAGAAAAATGTGGTGGCCTTATTGTCAAGCGTGGCCTCGTCCTAAAAAATAAAGTTCGATAGCCTTATTGCCAAAGTTGGCCTACCCTAAAAAGTAAAATATGAATGCCTTGTTATAAAGGATAGCCTGTCTTAAAAAGTAAAATATAATGGCATTATTGTCAAAGATGGCCTACCTTAAAACGTAAAATGGTATGTTCAAACGAAATAGGAGAAACGTACCTCTAATAGGTTTTCCGATCGAAAAAGATATACAAAATGTTTAGGTGATCTTTTTCTTCTTGAAAAATGAAATTAAAGAAACAAACCTTTGATAGGTGATCCGATCAAAAAAGATATACGAATTGCTTTGGGTAATCTTTTTCTTTTTGAAAAACAAGATCAAAATCTTTGTTAGGTGATTCAATAGAAAAGCATACATGAACTCGCTCCGGATGATCTTTTTCTTTTTGAAACACAAGATCGAAAAAACAAACCATTGATAGGTGATCCGGTAAAAAATATATATATGAACGACTCTATGTGATCTTTTTCTTTTTAAAAAATGAGTTCGGATAGATGATCCGATATAAAAAGATATACGAATCTTCTAGTTGATCTTTTTCTTTTTGAAAAATAAGATCGAAGAAACAAACCTTTGACGAGTGATCTAATCGAAAAAGATATACAAACCACTTTAGGCGATCTTTTTCTTTTTGAAAAAAAGATTGAAGAAATGAACCTTTTACATGTGATCCAATTGAAAAATATATACAAATCAATCGAAGTGATCTTTTTCTTTTTGAAAAACAAGTTCGAAGAAATGAACCTTTGATAGGTGATCCGATCAAAAAATATATACGAACCTCTTTGGGTGATCTTTTTCTTTTTGAAAAACAAGATTGAAGAAACAAACCTTTGATAGGTGATTCGATCAAAAAATATATACAAACTACTTTGGGTGAGTTGATGAGATTTGCTTCTATAATACATCAATGAAACTGATTGAAATGGATAGTTTCTTATTTATGAGAAAACATAAGCCACACTTTGAAAGCTCAAATTTTCTTTTGTCGATTACTACCGACAAAGCTGAATCCGAATTGTACTAGAATCATCTCATGCCTCCAAGTTTAGCTACTTCAACTGTTTTGATTAATGCTCAATACTCACTTTTCAAGCTCTCATCATTTCCGATGACTTGATGATATCATTGTTTGACCAATAGTCAAACTCGATTAAAGTCGTTAAATCTTTGGCCTTGTCCCTAAGTGTTTTCTAATTTTTTGAATCACCATTTAGGTTGGGTCATGAGATGCCTCTAAGTATTGGTTAAGATCAAACATTTACCACTCTCTCGAGCATAATCACTACTTATGTTCATATGCTTGTCTTTTAATGCTTATATCATAATTTTCAAATTGGTCTTGAAATTTTCATCATTATTTGAGAAAGATCATAGACATTTGGCTTCGATGGATTAAGTTATGAAGTTGAATAATGCTATTAAATACAACTCATGTTATTTGAAAGAAATACGAGAGATGTTCCAATATAATAATGAAGCGGACAAGGATTGATTTGAGCAAGTAAAAAGTTCAATTTTCACTCGTATACTAACATGTATTTTATGCGTTATCGTGAAATGAGTTATATAATATTTTTATATATTCATTATACAAAATAGAAAATTTAAAAATAATTATTTAAAAAGATCACGTAAAAAAATTAAAAAAAATTAAAACATATATCTCATATTTTACCGTAAGATTAGCCAAACGAAAAATCTGTAAATTTGAGTAATATAATGTTACTAATTAAATATTGTTTGATATAAACATGTATTTTATTAAAAAAAACATGTATAATAATTGATAATTAAAATAATGATGTAATAGTTTTTTGAATTTTAGATGATTAATTTTTTCCATATATTATTCATCCGTAATTTGTTAATGAGATAGAAAGACCATCCAAAACAAAAAGACAAAAAGCTTTGTCAAATCAAGAATTTGGCAAAAAAAAATAGAGATAAAATAACACAAGATAAAAATTAAATGATCGAAACGAAGTAAAGATCATAAAAGAAGGATCAAAATAAATAAATAAATAAATAACTTATAAACAATAAGACTAAAAAAATATTCATTATACATAAGACATAAACAAAAGTAAAACATGATAGAATTTTAATGACCAAAATAAAAAAAAACAAATTCACAAAATAAGAACCAAAACAGAAGATGATTTTTACTAAAAGCCAAAAAAAACAAACTTAGAATAGTGAAATTATATTTAATTTTAGAGTAGAAATAATAATAATCAAATTTAATAAAAAATTAATTATCAGAATAAAAGAAAGATTACAAAATAAAAACCAAAACATAACAAAAAGTTTTACTAAAAGTAAAAAATAGTTTCTTGTAGGGAAAAAATCAAATATAATAAAAATTTAAGATCAAAATAAAAAAAATCACAAAACATGGACTAAAACAAAAATAAAATTCTACTAAATTTAATGGCCAAAATAAATAAAAAATCACAAAATAGGAATTATAATATAAAGAAAAGTTTCACTAAAAAAAAAGCTTAGGATGGTCAACTTTATTTAGTTTTAGTATAGTGAGGATAAAAATAAAAAAATGATAAAACTTTAATGAGTAAAATAAAGACACATTACAAAATAGGAACCAAAAAAGAATATAAATTTTTACTAAAAGCTAAGAAAAAATATTTATTATAGGGACAAAAATCAAATATAATAAAATTTTAATATTTATTATAGGGATAAAAATCAAATATAATAAAATTTTAATGACCAAAATAAAAAAGATCTCAAAAAAAGGATCAAAATAAAAATAAAGTTAACTAAAAACCAAAAAGAGCCTTGGCTACGAGCAACCGAAAAAGAAAGGAAAAAAAGACATAAACGAGTTAATAAACAATGAAATTGCTACGCTAGTTTTTTGTTTTCTTTTAATTTTATTGTAATATATGTATAGTCATAATTATTTCTTAATAGCATCAAGTTTGAGTTCATTTGTTCTAACAAGAACTGAATAATCAACTAAAGACTAAACGTATTCGACACTAATTTACTTCGAAAGTAACGAGACATAATCTCGATTGATGAAAAAACTGATTTAAAAATATCCCACCATCTATAAATATAAAAAATAAATAAATAAAGCGGACTTACGTGTTTTCCTCCCTCCATTTAAATTCTGAATTAGTAATGCTATATTCAAACAAATTTTTATACGAAATTCTAAAATGTGGTAGTTGTTATTTTTTTTATGAAATATTAATCATTTATATATCAATGTTTATGAAATGTACACTTTAATTATCATTTATTAGTTGGCATTTTAATTTGATATAGTAGCTATTTATTATGTATAATTCGTTTCTAAAACATTTTCTTTTAATGAATGGTATTTTGACAAAATAATTTTCAAGGTACTCATTTATTAAACTGTCCAACTTACGAGTACTGAAGCAGCTGCAGCACTAAAAAGAAAACTGATCAATTTGGGACAGTTCCTATAATATGTATTTATATGGGTATAAATATGTATTTATATGGCTAGGATTAAAACTTCGAGAGAGATCATGTCTTAATAATAAAATAATACTTATGGATTTTTCTATTAAAAAACCCAAATATCAATAAATAAAACTTCACACTTATTTAGTGAGTGGGACAAACTATAATCTATAAATTTAATGAATCATAATTTAATTATGGACAAACATACAACTACATCGTAGTTTTATTTATAAATTTACACTAATTATGAGTTTTAATTAAAATTGTCAATAAATCAGATTAAGATCATGTTAAAATAAAATCAGAATTAATTTGTTTAATAAAATGAATGGAATCTTACATATGAATTTAAATTTGAATATTTTATCATTGTGGATCTGGATCAGAAACCTCCAATCACCGCATGCAATTCTTATATCCGTACGTATGGTTCGTTAGTGGAGTTAACATAATGGGCAAAGTTTGCAAATACAGGGAGGAAAAAAAGAAAAGAAAAAAAAACACAGCGAGAAGATAACAGAAAAGTAAAACATAGATATATAATTTTGTTTATTGGCATATATAGCATGCAAACAGAAGGATACAATATGCATAGAAAAAGATACGAGACTAAAAATCAAATAGAAATTCAACGACATAGATAACCGGGACAGGAGACTCGCTGATCAAGTGGAGACTACCCATCAAGAGTGAAGAAGCACCCATTTCATTATTCTCATGCAACCCTCTATCCTGGACCGTTCAAAATCGCAGCTCTAGCTATCGACTTCACTTCATGCTGCAACACAAAAATTAAAGGCAAATTTGGTAAGAAAATATTACTTGCTTTCAAGTAGTAGAAAAATAAATAATAAAATTCAAGAGCATATATAAATACTCTTACGAAAATTATTCCAAACAAACATGATAATAATAATAATTGAGTGATTATATATTGTTGGTTACACAAGCATTATTCATATGATTAGTGAAATTTAAAAAAAAAATCATTGATTTTTTTAATTATTATGTATCACACAACGTTCAGAAAAAAAAAAAAGATTTAATAAAATCTTGTTATTAGCACTTGTGGGATTACTAAAGCGAAAGGAGAAAATAAAAATACCAGTGGTCAGAAATGCTAACCTTGCGCAGTTAGTGGAGGTGCTAATCTTATATGGAATGTTAACCTTGCAAATGCCAGGAAGAGAAGCTGCGAAGCCAGGATTAACACCGCCTACTTGGGCGGCGGTTTTTTTCAAGCAATTGCAAGCATCTCGGCGATCTTGAGTGGTTTTAGCAGCGTTCTTGAGAGCCGCAACTCCTTTGCAACAAGCGGGAGGAACCGGTCCACCTTTCTTCAGATAGCCAATGCATTGCGCCAAGTCACCGGCCACAACATCACATGATAAGGCTTCAATGTTCAACATGTGGGCAGAGAGCACCAAGCACAGACAGAGCACAGACTAACTTAGCACTAGCCATGTCTGATAATTTGAGGAAGGCTAAAAAGACTCGAATCCTATACCACTTAGTTAAGCGACTAGAGTCTCTTTCGCTCAAGTCAATCCTCTTGAGTAATCAGTCTAACTTTAATACAACTAAAACATAAGTATATTGTTATAAAAATAATAATAACAACAATAGAATTGAAGAGAAAGATAATAATAAATAAAAAAAATGAATTCACTATAAAATGAAGTGAATACAAGAAATAACAACTTCAAATAATCTCTCAAAATCTGCAAAATACGTGTACATCAACTAATGAACAATCAAGCCTATTTATAAGCTTCAAGATTAGAAACGAATTAGAAAGGACTATGAATCATTAAAAAATACATAAATAATTGAATAGATTGCATCATCTTTTTAATTTCCGAATGGTGAATTGAATCAAATGAGTAGTGAGAATATGAAATGGTCATAGACATTCACTATTTCATAACACTCCCTCTAGAATGTGTATCGTACAAGTAACATGTTTCGTTAAAACCTTATTAGGAAAAAAACTCAGTGGGAAAAAATCCTAATAAAGAAAAAAAAGTACAATATTCTTTGTTGGGCTCCCCTATTGAAAACATCATTTAATATCTTTAACATGATGCATCCTAGTCTTATGAATCACTTTCTTAAAATATATGGTAGGGGTAATGCCTTAGCGAATAAGTCCGCTAGATTGTCACTTTCATGTATTCTTCCTTTAATTAAATTATGCAAGTAGCATTATTTTTATATAATATTATTGGAACTTCTTTATTAGTAGATAAACCGCATATTTCTCGGATATGATAGATTGTTGATCTTAACTAAACACATTCTCAACTTGCCTCATGAATTGATATTTCTACATAGTTTAAATATCTAGCAGCTATAGTTTGCCTCATAGAACTTCATGATATAGATGTATTATCAAGTGTAAGTACATAACCCGTTTGTGATCAAGTTTTATATACATCGGATAAATAACCTATATCTGCATAACCCGTTAAACCTAATTTTGATTTATTTGAGTACAATAGATACCATATCAATTTTTCCTCGAAGATAACATAGAAAATGTTTAATTCTATTCCAATTAGAATAGAAATATAACTTGCTAATAAATTTAGAAAAGGCTATATCGAGTCGAGTATTATTAATAAAATATATGAATACACCAATGGTATTAAGGTATGGTACTTCAGGATGAAATAGTTCTTCATTATCTTCTCGATGTCGAAAATGGTATTTTTTGGATATCAAGTGAACAAACTACCATTGGACTAGTTAATGGATGATCTTTATGTAGAATAATTGTAAAACTTTTTCATATAAATTGACTAATGAATAAAATATCATTCCCTAACCGCTAAACTGTAGATCAAGATAAAATTTTATTTCCAAAGGTATTCATATCAAATTCTCTTTTTAGATAACTTATGGAACTTTGAATCTCTCTAGGAGTTCCAATAATATTTCAATCATCAACATATATAACAATTATCACAAACCCTTTTTCGAATTTCTTTATAAAAATACATGAATGAATATGATTATTTTTACAACTTTCTTTTAATAAATATTTATTGAAGTAATTATACCACATGCACACAAGTTAGTAATAAATAGTAGATATTAAAAATAAAAAATAAATATAAAAAGTATAGCATAAATTGAATTTCTAAGATATAAAATAATAAAATAAATATTAAAATAATTTTGATAGAAATCTCTATAATTTAATTCAATCTATTTCTCAAGAATATTTATTACATGCTAAAATAAAGAGTAGATATTGAAAAATAAAAAATAAATATAAAAAGGATAGCATAAATTGAATTTGTAAAAAATAAAATAATAAAATAATTTCAATAGAGATCTTTATAATTTAATTCAATTTATTTCTCAAGAATATGTATTACATGTTTCAAGCATCTTAAGTCCTTCTAGGACTTTCATATAGATATCATTTTCAACTGAACAAATAACATGTGATCAAGTCCATTAAATGTAGGCATATGAAGTTTTTCATATACTTTGTCGAGCTAACGAGATAACAAAATGTAATTACATCTATTACAGGAGAATATATCTCCTCATGGTCAATGTTAAGTCCTTGCGAAAACTCTTATGTTACAAGTTTTGCATTTAAATCTCACAATCCCATCTTTCTTATTTTGTTTTTGCAAAAATACTCATTTGTATCCTAGTAACATAACATCTTCAAGTGTTTTGACTATAAATTTAAAAACTACTCATTTGTTAGGGAGTATAATTCCACCTAGATTATTTTTTTCATTTAGGACAATCATTTTATGTTGATATTTTTCAATAAATTTAGGCTCATGATCTTTATTTTCATTTAAAATATCAATTGTAACATTATATGCAAAACTCTTACTAACAAATGTTTCTTTTCGGTCCTATTTTCTTTCTATATTGACAAAATTTATCGAGTCTTTTGATTTTTTTTAAGTATTTGGACTTCTTCCGAAACCTATTATCGAAATATCTTTGACCTTTTTATGAATATTTACATCCTTTATATTTTTATTTTTATTATTTATCATTTTCTTTGAGGGATTTTTGCTTTTAAAATCGATCGGTCTTCCACCTTTGAGGCTCGCTTTAGATTCATTTGCTATAATATTAATATATTTTCCTTCTAGGATATCAATTCTAATAGGAGCATTTTCAATAAAGACATGTATTTTAGTTACTCATTTAGAATTTCGGAATGCATTTGGCGGTTAGTTTACAATACCTTGTAAATGAATTATCTTTTGAACTTCTAGTTCATATTATTTTGTATGAGGATTAAGATGATATAAGATAGAGTACTCCATGTAATTTTTTTTTTAACATTTTCAACTACTTATTTTGCTTATTCTCTCCCCTAATGTTGAAAAAACTATTTCATCAAAATGACGAGTTGATAAATCGAGCTATAAAAATATCTATTATTCATAGTTCGGGATATTGAATTATCGAAGAGGATTCAAATCCAACATATATTTTCAATATCTTTTTAAGTGCCTATTTTAGTTCGTTATGAAGGAACACTACGGATATATACTCGCAATACCAAAAACTCTTAAATAAGAAATACTTGACTTATGACCATAAACTAATTGAAGGAGGGAGAATTATTGAATTATAGAAGAGGATTCAAATCCAATATATATTTTCAATCTCTTTTTAAGTGCCCACTTTAGTTCGTTATAAAAGAGCGCAATGAATATATATTGTCATGCAAAAAAATCTTAAATAAGAAATATTTGACTTATGACCATAAACCAATTGAAGATGGGAGAATTTCTAATAACTTATGGGTCCGATGTGAATATGTGTTACTACATGTACGATTACATGTCCTCAAATATAAATATAAAGTTTTATTTTTAAATAATGGTTTAGCTATAAAACATTTCCAACTACTTATTTTGCTTATTCTCTCCCCTAATGTTGAAAAAGCTCGCTTTATCAAAATGAAAGTCGATAAATCAAATTGTAAAAATATATTTTGTTCATTGTTCAAAATATTGAATTATTGAAGAGGATTCAAATCCAACATATATTTTCAATCTCTTTTTAAGTGCCCATTTTAGTTTTTTATAAAGAAGCACTGTGAATACATACTGCAATGCTTAAAATTCTTAAATAAGAAATATTTAGCTTATGACCATAAACCAATTAAATGGGGGAGAATTTCGACAACTTATGGGTTTAATGTGAATAAGTGTTACTACATATGAGATTACATGTCCTCAAACATAAACATGGAGTTTTATTTTTAAATAATGGTTTAGCTATCAACTAGAGCCTTTTGAGAAGTGATTTTGCTAAATCTTTTTTAGTATGAACATAAACAACAAGATATTCAACATTTATTCTTATAGCCAATCAATAATCATTTAGAAGTTAATTCATCAGCATTATCGAGGTGAATTTTTTTAATGATATAATTTAAAAATTATGCTTGTAATTGAATTATTTGGGTCGACAATCTTGAAAACGTTAAGTTTCGAATAGATAATAAATATACATATGATCATTTTATGGATACATATATTAAAACTATAAAATATCTAAATGATTCACATGGTGGATAAATTGATCCATATATATCATGTTGAATACATTTTAAAAATATTGAAGATTCAATCTCAATTTTACTTGGTAATGGCTTATAATCAATTTAGCTTGAGAACATGCGAGAAAATTAAAATTCATTAAATTGAAAAATCTTTTGGCTCTTCGATAGATATCCATTTGATTTTTTTAATAAGTTTTTTGTATCATGAAAAACCTATGATAAAACAATTGGCCATGCCACATAATAAAAGTATTTGAATTAGTAAACTTCTAGTTTACTACAGCATTTTTTATAGTTATTCCAATTTTTGTAATAAAAACCAACGAGAGAAAGTGGATAATTTTTTTCAATATGTATTTTCTACCGGATATAATAATTATAATATAAAAGTATTCAATATTTTTTACATTTGTTATCTTGATATGATATCAATTTAGATGAATATCTTTGGAACTCAATAAATTTTTATGAGACTTTAGAGAGAATAGTATACCATTTATAATAAAATTTGTCCTTTCGGATGATAAGATATTTTCCCTTCGAAGCCTTTAAATTATATCATTTCAAGTAATAATATATTCGCTCTTCTAGAGCCTTTAAATTATATCTCTTAGAGTAATAATATATTTGCTCTTCTAAAGTCTCAAAAATTTATCTCTTCAAGTAATAATATAATCACTCTTCTAGAGTTTTTTGTTAAATTGATATTATTAGATATAATATCAACACAAAATAAATAATAAAATATATATATATATTCTTCATAAACACAAATAAATGAATAAATATATATAGAGATAAATAAATTTATAACTATCCATATGTAATAGAAATTATAAAAAAATATAAAACATATTTATAAATAAAAAAGTTAACAATTTATTAATTTCAATTGCCTCTATTTTGATATATAAAATTGACCTCTATATTTTACTCTCTTTTTTTTAAACGAGGCTCGATAAGGCTCAATGAGGTGCTTTAGTGTATGGCATGTACACAACTAATGTCCATTCATGCCACATCAATAACATTCATTTTTATAATACTGACTTAATCCATTTTTATTCTTTTCTTTTCTTTTCTTTTTTCATAGTTATCCACTTTTTATGGTGAGATGTATTATTATGATCATCACGATTATGATGATAATTATTTCGATCACATCCATGGCTATGACCACATCTTCGTCCATGCTTAAAATTATTATAAGTTGTCACGTTCACTTCGGGGAATGAAGTAGATCCAATTGGATAAGATTGATTCTTTTTCATCAATAGCTTATCATTTTATTTAGCCACGAGCAAGTATGAAATTGATTTAAAATATTTTTTACACTCTTTTTCTCAATATGCTACTGCAGGAGCATATTCGAGACATGAAAAGCGAGAGAATATTTATTCGAGCATCAAGCACTCATAATCAATCATTCTTGTCCAAAATGTCAAGGGCCACAAAATCAAGTTTTGTTAGGTTTGGTATCATAAAAATTCTATTATGAAAAATATAATAATAATATTAGGAAATAAAAATAATAATATAAAATTAAAAAAACAAACATAATAATAAAATTTAAAATTTTCCAACAATATATATTAGATAATTAAATTCTATAAATTAAATCATTTAAGTCTTTCAAATGTTTATTCTATGTATCATTAGATTTAAAGTACATGATAAATTAAATATATACCGCTTAATTATCTAAATAATTTAGATCTTTTGGTAGAGCACTTGTGTAGAAAAAATCCAATGATTAAAATAAATGATTAAGTCTTTTAGTAGATACATACCTCATAGTCTATTGTTTTGATTGGTTAGAGCTTCTTTGATAACATATTATAAAAGAAATAGTAACAATAATAGAATTGAAGAGAAAGATGATAAGAAAATGAATTCACTATAAAATTAAGTGAATACAAGAGATAACTACTTCAAATAATCTCTCAATCTCTACAAAATACTTGTACGTCAATTAATGAACAATCAAGCTTATTTATAGGCTTCAAGATTAAGAAAAGAATTGGAAGGGACTATGAATTATTAAAAGATGCATAATTAACTCGAATAAATTGCATCACCCTTTTAATTTCTCATAATGAATGGTGAATTGAATCACATGAGTAGTGAGAATATGAAATGGTCATCGACATTCTTTATTTCATAACATGTACCTAATTGTTCATGAATATTAGAAATTAAATCATGATTTTGATAAAATCAAAACAATTTATTTACTGTTGAATCACATTCTTTTTTATCTTTAGCATAGAAGAATTAAGTTAAAGAGTGTGAACACAAGAAATTCAATTTATAGTTAGTTGGTTGTTACCTCCATTTAATGATTGGGAATTGAGACCACACTAATGTTAAATATTTTTATTAGAATATTGGCATTAAAAAGAAGAATGACAAAAAATTAAGAAGAAAAAGGAAAAGCATGGGATTAAATTTAAAGAGCAATCCTCATGGAAAACTCAAAATATTACATGATATAAGGCGAAAAAAAAAATTAGAGTAATGAATGGTGGGATTTTTATGGTCGAAATTAATTGAAATGAACAATTGTGGCATTTGGAATGGAAAATACTAGCTAGGCATAGCATTAATCACAAATACAAAATCACGGCCCACCTTTTTCTTTAATTTTTTTTTTTAACTCAAGGCAAAGTTTCAACAAAAAAATCCCAAAATTGGCCTATCGACATTAGATTGTAATAAATTATGTTCAGGAAAAAAATATATATAATTAAATAAGTGGTTAGATTGCAATAGATAGATAAACAAGCAGGCTCATCACATGTAAATCCTCGAAATTGTTAACTATTAGTATAAGAACCATATATTCCATTCCAAAACATATAACTTTTTCAAAACATATACCCCATAAATTATTACATAAATCTAGTCTAGGTTTCATTAGAATCCCGAACATTATTATGGTTGGAACAATGAAGCAACTTGTATTCAAGAAACTATAGGAGAAGGTAATTAGCCATGTCTAAATGCCATAGTTAAATTAATATTCAGCTTTTATTTACTAATGATTGGTAATAGATAACTGCCATTAGAGTTGCAAAAACTAGGTCTGCATTTCCGCAGTACTGCTTCATTAATGCACCACTCTCCGGTTCATAATTGAGAAAGAGAGATCAAATCATGCAAGAACCTAAATCGGTGGTCCTGAGAAGGTCCATAGTCTGCGTTCAAAACCTTTTGAAAAAATGAGACACACAGGCAGCCGACCGATGAACAGATGTAAGCAACAAAAATGGACGCCCGTGTCTTCCATCCTCTCCGCAACGATGACATCCCTCTCCCTCAAGTCAGATAAAGACATATTTGCCAACTAATAACAATTAAAAGGAAGATAATATGGTAGAAAACTTTCTTTGGGGTGGGACCTTCGATTGCTTTCAAGCAATAGGTCATGAAATTGGTTATAGTTATCGGTTTTTGGAGGGTGCACGTGTCACGTTGCCATGAAATTAACTTGAGGCACAGTTGATTAGCATGCTACTTACTGTTTTTTTCTCTTCTTCATTCATGCACCTTTGACCCATTTCTACTGGAGATGGTGATCCTGTCCTGTGGAGGCATATGTGTAGTCTGGTTTACTTTTAATAACCTTTGAAATTCCAAAAACGGTGCCAATAGAAATGGGACGTCCACCGCAGCCGATCCAACAGCGTAAACAACAAAAATGGACGTGTATTCCATGCTTACAGCGTTGCCTATATGCCTCTAGTCTGATTAACACCCTTGCCATTTTCCAACTACTTATAATAAATCCTTTGGAACCAATTTTGATTACCGCAACGCAAGGTAAAGCCCCACCTTCTTCCTATCTACTAGCAACTATTCTACTTGTACCGTCGAAGGTTAGGAGGATGTATTTTTGACTTGGCTTATGAGATGTTTGATCTTCGTCGTTGAAAATTTTTATTCTTTTCTCCATATTAAATTAACAAATCCAACTTTTGAAATAGAGCTATAATATGAGACTCATCTAACTTAATATACATTGATGTAAAAATAAATTTTAAATTGTTAAATTGTGAAAACTAATATGGACGAGGACTCATGGTAAATAACATTATACATATAGTAGTCTTTATAGATAGAGACAATATATTTTATTTTTAAAATTCGTCATTTTATAAAATTCAATAAAAATTTTAACGTAGTCATGAAGTAGATATCATTATCTAACTACGTAAAACTTTTATATTGTGTAATTATTTATGTCTTTCTACTTTATTTTATTTCCTAATATAGGTATCTATTTTTTAATAGAGAAAAAAATAATATATATATATATATATATATAATATTGATGGGAGTGGGGCTTCATAGATATGAATCAGATGAAATTTTTGGGCCTGATTTTCTATATATCTCTCTCAAATTAAGCAATAATAAGTTGAATAAGATTTTCAGAGGGTCCATAATTTTGACGGCAAGAAATTGATTGATGACTTTTGGCTGAATCACATGAATCGCTTCAATTTGAGAAGCTTATTGCAGATATGCTTTCTCTTGTTAATTAGTTAGTGGTTAGCATAAATATTTTGATTGACAATGATGCTTACAAGCTAGCACCACATAAATATAATAAGCTAGGAATGGAACAGCAAGATACTTCTTCATGTAGTTGTGTGTTAGCCATATGCCAAGTTGATAATGATTGAAAAAACAAGCGTTTAATTATAAGTTATAGTTATATTGATACAAGTATTCTCTTCTTTTACAAGTTTTTGAATTGGAACATTGTTTTTGTTAAAAAAGAAAGATGCTATAAAATTACTCACTAATGGAATTTTACATTGGCCTAAAACTTATTACTCGAATGCTGGTAAGACTTTTATCGGAGCTGCAGAAAATTGCTCCCTTGCATCGTTGTAGGTCTGCCCAATAATGGTCTACTAGGATGAGACGGAAGGTGCATAAGGCTGCTAGCTCCTGCTAATAACCTTAGGCCATAATAACTGAATTGTTGTAATTGAGCTTCGGGTGAATATACATTGGATTGTTCCTGATAGAAACGAATTAAACTAGAAAAATAAGAATAACGAAACAATACAAAAATTTACGTAGATGGATAATTATATCTACTTTACAGCTATATTAGAATTTTTCAAATGACGATTACAAGCATAAGAAACATTGTTTCTATTTATAGTATAAATAACTAAAATTATAATAAAAAAGATCTTATGGATCTATACACTCGACTCAATATTTTATTGATCTTTTGAGAACTTCACCTCTTTGACCCTCGTTCACTAACCAGCTAGCAAGATTATCATTCATATAGCACGTTAAAATGTGAGTCACATTTACATTAATCTCCATAACTTAACACTTGTGTTGTAACCATTTGTTAATTACCATGTGTTGCATTTATATTGGAGTAGAATATGCTGCTTTGTTATCATCAAAACTAAAATTAAATGGTAGAAGTCATCCAGTAGTCTGGTCGGTCGAAAAATTGAATTTCCCTTCCAAGCCTTATCAGGTATGCCGATAAATTGCTACCTACATATAAATTCATAATTCTAAATTTAAGAAAAAAGTAATAATTTTCTTGATAAGAAGAAAAGAAAAACGAGTCCTAACTCAAAAAATGAGCTAGTGAAAAAAAATAACATGGAAAAGAAAATGAAAACGCTCAGCTTTTATTCATCTAAGCTCAGTTCGCTAGGCCTGGTCCGAACAAGCCTAGCTCCTTTGAAATTTATATGTTTTATTATTTCTTTTATTTATTCAAATTCAATTAAAACACATCATTTAAAATATATTAAAATTCAAATCAGTTTTCGAAAAAAATGTCAATAAGACAAAATTAAAATAAAATTATTATTTTAGGTAATACAAAGTTATTAACAATATAATAAATATTTACTACTTAATAATTTACCAATTAATGGTGTATTGTAATTTAATTTTGAGAGAAAAGTTTTTTTGGTGTCCAACTTTTGATTATTTTTTTTTATGCCCAACAGTTGATTTATAATGATTTGCTATTTAATTTTTGATTTTTTGTTTGTTTTGATACCCGACTTCACTCGAGTTTTAATTTTACTTACGTGTCCGACGAGAGCCGCAACATGATAGTCAAAATTGTCACATGATAGTCAACCCTAGACACATCAACATCTTATACTCTAAGGTGATTGTGGGTAATCAAATAGGAAAAAATAAAATTAAAAATAAATAAAAAAAGGGCAAAAGTTAGTCATTGAAAAAAAAATTAAAAGTTGGGCACCAAGAAATTTTTTTTAAAAGATATTTATTGTCTCAAGATTACAAAATCAGTCTAATAATTTTTAATCAATATTTTTCATATCATGCTCATGGCGTTTTTACTTATCAAAAGCAATTTTTTTTTAATACTATATATCGATTGAAAATTACTTTTTAAAAATTCTAAACCCCTTTAGTCTGTATAGACAAATTTAATATTATATCATTTAGTCTAAATGTATATAAAGTCTAATTAAGAATAAATCTAGAAAATAAAAAAAATAAAAAACATCTAAGATCCAATTTTATTGCCGTTTGCCGGAACAAATGACTAGTCAATTGAGAAATTTACAACAACAAAAAAAAAAAAAAATTGTTTTTCTCTGTTTAAGGAGAAGATCAGTCAATATATAAAGGGTGACATAAGCTTTTTGTTGACCAAAAAGCTTGTAATCCAATTTTAGTGGTCTCTTACTAAAGGTCATGGGTTCAAATTATAATAGACTAGTTCTATTAGGAGCTTTGGGTGCATGAGTTTAAAAAAAAAAAAAAATTTATGACCAATAACTTACTAAACTTTTTATAGCATGCCGAGATAATTTTTTAAAGAAAACTACATTTTCGATATCTAACCATTGATTTTAATTTATTTTATTCTATTTAGGTGCCCAACCTTTAATTTTCTTTCTATTTCAATGTCTAACCTTTAATTATTATTATTTTTATTTGAATGCTTACAATCATCCTAAAACATGAGGTGCTAAGGTGTTTAAAGTTAACTATCACATGACATTCTTATTAGACACGTCAATAAAATTGAATCTCATGTGCAACTGGGCACCAAAACAAACAACAAAATCAAAACTTGAATAGTAAATCATTAGAAATCAAATGTTGAACACTAAAAAAGGGGAAAAAAATCAAATTTTGACTACCAAAAAAGCCTCTCTCTTTAATTTTTCCTCATATAGGCACCAGAAAGAAAAAAACATATATAACGGTTTTTAGGTATTTTTACAGGAAATTAATTTTCGGATCACATGATGCAAAACGACCTGGCCACATGAGTTGCAAAGCCGCTCAGAACCATGGATCCTGTGCAAGCGGCTTGGACTAATTGCCGCATAGGTTTAAGGTGTAGTTAACGCATATATGATATATGAGAATTTCGCATATACATAACTAGTTAATAATCAAGAGAAAATACTCATTTATAGATAACCCAAAAATATCAGAAACAAAATATATTTTTAGTTTCATGGCGTATCGCATACAAGTAAAAGATAAATAGATAATTACACAAGATTTATAATAATAAAATAAAAACTGAGACAGCGATGGATAACAGGATTAATAAGGGACTCGCTCCAATGGAGACCGATCAAATGGACAAAACTACAAAGCACTTATTTTATTATGGCATTCCTCGTCCATGCAAAGCTATTTTGGATGCTGGAATTTTGCTGCTCCATCAGTACCTGATCACTTAATGCTGCAAGACAAGAAAGAAACAACAGCAGAGACTTTAATTTATATATAAAAAAATTAATATACAATTACTTCATCATATATACTTGAAACGAAAAATAAGATAGGAGTACGTAGCTAGTAATAAAATGCAGACCTGGCACAGTTAGTGGAGGTGCTAATCTTGTAAGGAATATTAACATGGCAGAGACCAGGGAGAGCAGCTGCATTGTTAGGATTTACCCCAGCGTTGTTAAGTGCCGCAACTCCTTTGCAGCAAGCGTCAGGAACTTGACCGCCACTACTAAGGTAGTTGAGTCACTCAAATGACAAGGCCTCAGCTTTCAACATGGGGGCAGAGAGCACCATGGATAGCAAGAGAGCACAGACCAACTTAGCAGTTGCTTTGTTTCAGAAATCACAGTGTGTTTTTGTTGAGGTATTTGAGAGAGAATTACGAGGAGAAATGCTGGAGTGAGTGTGATGGTTAGTGGTGTTTATATAGAAGAAGTTTAGGAGTGTAAACACGAGGAAATTGGATCAATATGGTTGGTTGTTGTTGGGCCCATTTAATGACTCAGAACGCCAAACCACACTGATAGTACATTTTTAATTATATTAGCATTCCGAAAAAAAAACTAAAGTTTTTAGAGAAGAATCCTATGAAAAATTAGGAGATGACAAATTGAAGATTGCTTAGAGAAGCAAGGATCACATGAAAATCCGAAAATTGCCGGTATTATTACTTTAAGAACCAGTGAAAACGTGTCATTGCCGTTTTTTTTTTTTCAAGTATTGTAACTCAATGATACATAAATCAAATCAAATCAGAAGCCGTTGCCAGAGAGGAGCAAGTTGTATTCGAGGAACTACTGCATTGTGAATCATGAATCACGACCAGAGTCAGTGGTAAACGTTGAGCTCTTTCTCAAATCATTAAATTGAGTTTTTTTTTATTATTATTATTCATCGGAGTTCTATAAATATTTGGACTGCCCAATGAAAAATAGTTTGCTTCCATTACATAACTTTAAAAAAATAAAATTATTAAAATTTAAATCTTATTTTACTTTAAAAAAAAACTAATTGGATACACAACTATTGAATTTTTCAAACGCAAGAGAGTTGTTTTGATAGCATAATTAACAGGTATGGGAGGAGTTGTCAAATGCACCAATCATCCACCTATATAAATAAAATGATAAATTATAATGGTCTTCTTTAGGATTGAAATTTATATATAACGATAATCTAAAAGTTCAAAAATTTGATAAAAAGGTTTCTTTATATTCAAAAGTTAATTACAAGAATCTCCCGTGGTAATTAAAAAAAAAAAGTTTTTTGTCATATATGTTACCTCAAATAAAAAATTCTTTATTTTTTTTTTTTTTTACTTTTAGAAAACATGAGCTGATTACCAGCGCTACGCCGCGGATCGAGCAAAAAAAAATCGTTTCAAAATTTTATAATTTTTTAATTATATTTTTTATTTAATTATTTTTTATGGTTTTCTCAAATTTTTATTTTAAAAAGAACATAATTTATTCTTTTCATGTATAGAGTCTAAAATAAAAAATTCTAATAATTTAAATTTAAATATTAATCAATAATTAAAAAAATACTTTAAAAATATATTTTTCATAAGAAAGTATGCAATAAACAAAGTTACAATTAATGTACTAACTTATATAAAAATTAAATAATAAAAAATAAATTTTTACTTTTATTTAATGCCAATAAGTTGATTATTTTTTGAAAGTATATGCATTTGATCTATATATATTTATTTACTAAATAATCAATAATATTATCATAAAAATTGCATTTGAATAATTAGGTGGTTTTTTTACAAAAAATATTTTAATTATTTTATTTCAAATAAATTGATTCTATAATGCTTTTAAAAAATATTTATAACATATAATTGGTGTTATGTGTGACGATATATAATTAATTTTTAACAAAATCGATTATTCAATAGTTTTTATACGTTTTAACTATATTTAGTGGACTAAGAAAAATTATCTAGAATACACTTTTAATATGTTAGATTAAAATAATTATATATTTATATATGAGTAACTATCATTTAAAAATTTTATTATATATTATATCACTTTGTTTTTTAAAAAAATAAAAAGAGAAAACAATTTAAAAAAATAAAAAAATCAAATATGAAAAAAAATATATTTATCAATAAATAAAATTTTATTAAAAAAATATTAATATGATGAGGATTTTCATTAAAAAAGATAAATTCAAAAATAAATTTTACATAATAAGAGTAATATAATCTAAAATATAAATTAATTTTAAAATATAAAAATAATATTATATATATTTTACTTTTTCCACGTTGCATGAAAAATAGAAATAATGATGCTTGATATACCATAAGTTTTTCCTAAAAATTCTTTAAAAAAATTAAAGAAAAAAACCAAAAAATTAATGAAAAAAAGGGTGCGCGAAGAGGCCTAAAGCACTAGGCCAGCGCCTAGGCTTGGAGGACCAGGCCCTCGTAGGCCTAGAAGTTCCTTTTCATTTTCAGTGACCTCTGCATTTTCTGGTTATCGATTTAGCTGGAAAGATTGTCGAAAAATCGGATTTTGTTATTTCAAGTCTCCCAAAACCAAATTCAATTTCGATTTTGTCTAAAAATACCTCAAAACCACTGCAATAATAGTAAAAAAAAATCAGATAGAATCTCAATTTTTATTTTAATTCACACAAAATACATAAAAATTCAAATAAAAAAAACTTAAAATATTTCGATCGTTCGATCTACCTCATCCTATCATTTTATGAGTTGCCACCACTATCATAACCCAAAATATTTTCCCTTTTTTTGTTTAATTTATTTTTTATTTTATTTTAAAATTTACTAAATAAATAAAAAAATACAAAAAGAATATATATATAATGATTGAGGAGATGACTTATCCCCTCAATCCTAAAAACCTCCTATATATATACAACTATTTCCCTTCATTTCAGGGGATTCCACAATTTTCCCTATCCCGCAAAAACCCTAGAGATATACTCGCTACAAGACGGAAAAAAAAAAAAAACTAGCCACTGTTGATTTTCTTGAAAAAAATTTACTAGCAACCACCCTCTTCCCCAAAAAACAAAAACAAAAAAGGAAAAACCCAATTCCAATCACCACGAAAAAAGGCCCCCACTTTCATCATTTTCTTCCTACAATACCTCTCTCACTCCCTTCTTAATAATAAGTCGTCGTCAGGTGACAATTTCCAACTGAACTATCCATCTCTCTCTTACACAATGGAAAGCTATAACTCCAAACATTTCCCTAAACCTTAGATTCCATCTCTAATTTTACACCACACTACACCCACCCCACGCGGCACTCTCCCCACTTCACGTGTCTCCGCCACTTGGTTAGTTTGATAAGATCTGAAGAGGGGTTCTTATTTTATGATCCAAAGCATCTAACGATAGGGAGGATAATAAAAATATAGGTGGAGTCACTTCGATAATTGCTAAAAAGTTTGCTTTATTTCCACCAAGCTGGCCTTCTCACATGGTGTAACTGATGAGTCTTTCTTCGTTGTGTCTGATAGAGTTACTATTACGAGGTTGTGTTTACCGGAGGTGCTGAGGAATGATGATGTGGATGTTTTGAAGTTGAGGACTCGACATGGAAAAGAAAATATGGTTGTTCATATTAAGCATCCAAAAGCTTCAACTACACTGTTGTGTTCTCATGCAAATGTAGCTGATTTGGGCAAAATGTTCGAGCTTTTTGTTGAATTGAGTAATGGCCTTCGCATTAATCTCATAGGATACGATTACTCTGGCCATAGTCAATCGAATGGAAAGCCAACTGAATGTAATCCCTTAGATTTTCGTCTAAAGAAAAAACTTCCCATCATCTTCATCCTCCAGTCGAAATCACTCATCCCCTCTAACAAACACAACCACTTTCACCAAGCTTTCCCCAAAAAACTTCTTCTGCTAGCCCCTTAACCCTCACGAGCCACCCCTCACAACCTAAAATTGTCTCCCCTTTTCACCTCTATTTTCCCTTTCTTCCAAAGACAAGAGTTCAATTTACAGAAACCCTCAGAACCCCAAACATTATTGCCCCTTCTCACCTCCATTTTCCCTTTCTTCTAGAGACCAAAGCCACCTTCTCTGTCCATCTACACTCACACCCTCCCTCCCTCTCCATTATCCCCTTTTTTCTCCCATAAGAGAAATCAAACTAAAACCCCACACTCTACTCATTTTCTCTCCATCCTTTCTTCCTCTCGCTCTATCTCTATACCAAATCTAAACCCAGAGAAACCATATATATCATAACCTAAATTCAACCCTAAATCATCTTACAAACGTGATTCAAGGTTGTTTATAAGGATTTTATCGGATCGAATGCTCATATAGAGGGAAAAATATTCGATAAAGGGAGAGTGGATTGAAATGGCATCAACATTATTATTCATGGTGATCTTTTCTATTGATTTCATAGCTTTCGTTCTAGCCCTAGTAGCTGAGGAGATGAGAAGTGCTGCCAAGGCTGCTACTGATAGTGAATTAAATTATAGTTACTACATCTATAACTCAACATCGTAACCAAGTCAGGAAATACTGCATTTGTTTTACTTTTGGCAAGTCAAGTTTTCATAACGGGTGCCAGCTCATACTTTCGAAAAGTTATGAACTATGGAGGTACTAGAAATTTTGTGGTTGTTCTAGCCATAATAAGCTAGATTACATTGTTTATTGTTGAGGCATGCTTACTAGGTGGTTCAATCAAGAATGCCCAACAGACTAGATACAAGATCATATTTGCTAATGATGGTATTAATTGCCGAAACCTCTCTAATGGTGATTGTTGAAAATGGCCCTTTGAGTTCTTTTTTGTAACTCGATTGTTTTAGCAGTAATGGTTGTGTGATATTTATGAGTTGTTAAAAATTGATGGGTTTTGGAACTACATAGTAGCTTGAAGGAATTGATTTGCTCAATAGGTTTGGTGGGGCATATAGGATGGATTCAGTTGATTTGACAGATTCGTTTGATTCATAATGGCCATTGGACTATAGGAATAATATTAGGTTAATGAAGATCTTTAAGGGTTACTAAGATTGTCATGGTTGTCATATTTTTCTTGATTACTCCCTCAATTTCTAGATTGATAAGAATTCATTCTTAATTTGGTGTATCTATCCCTTTATGCTATTGGTGCCCTCATTCCTCTTCTTTATAAAACCATCGAGAATCGTTTTAGCTTTGATCACTTGTTCCATCCTCTCAATTATGATAACAATGTTAGTAAAATTGGAGAAAAATTTTATAATTAGATACCCTCTACTATCATAACATATGGCACTCGTGCTCGGAAACTTATCAAACTACCATTGAAGCTCCAGTTGCCTTGCCATCAACCGTGGTCATCGTTCAATCACCTTCGGGCATGTCTTAAGGAAGGATCACTTAGATGTCCTCTCTCAATCGATGTAGGTGGTGTCGGTCATGATAGCAAGAGGAGAAAGATCGACGTTAGTCGATGATTTTCGTTTTCTTCTTCTTCCTCAATTATTACTCTAGCCACGGTTATAAATAGGGAGGACACCAATCAACTCGGGAGACTATGGGGAGTGTTTCTCTAATGGTTTGGAGGTTTGATTTGGTCTAGATCGGATAGTAGAAACGTGTTTCACAAATGCGCCTCTTGTAGGATTTTCATCCTATTCGGTTGATTCCGGTGGTTTTTCATTAAGATTTGTTTAAGGGAACGGCTCCAAAGAGGATGAGTGACCTTCTTTGGTGGTGGTTGTTGTCGATATTGCTAAAAAAATGGTTGGTTTAAGAGGAACTCATATTCGGATCTAACGAGTCACAAAAGGGTTAGGTTTTGCAGCCTTCTCCTCTAATTTTTTGCCACCTCCAACATCTTTTTCCTCTTAGACTTCTTGAAAATAGTTGATTTGAGTCTAGGTTGTAAGTTCATATTGGTTGTTAGAGGTGAAATTGGCCGGAGGATAGCCAATCGAGGAGGGCAACTTCGGCAAGTCCGGCGAGCTTTACCCACGTGTTGGAGGGTTTGGTGAGGAAATCCTTAAGGGCTATTTGGTAGGTTTCTTTGGCTTTTTGGGATAAGATGGATGTTGGTATAGTGGCAGCCCTTATATTTTTGGGCGAGAGATGAATAGTTGTAGCTCTTAATAATATTTTAGCTAAGGTTTTTGTAGAGAAAATGAGTAATGGAGGCTAAGGTTTTTGTAAGGAAAATGAATGATGGAGGCTAGGGTTTTTTATAGGAGATGAATAATGGAGGCCCTCCTCAAAATGAGGTAAAAGTATGTTTATATAGAGAAACTATGTTTATATAGAGCTTTTCTAGAGTTTGGGATAAAATGAACATCGGTCTTTTCTTGGTTTGTTTACATCAATTTCAATATATATTTTATTATTTTTCTTCAATTAGCTGTTTAATTAAAATTATTTAATCCTTATTCTCTTGATTTTTTTCAATTCCACAATGATTAATTCTCAATCAAGGTCCTTGATTTTTTATCCCTTTCCAATTATATCTCTAATTGAATATCATTTAGTTCTCACTTTTCACATTCTTTTCAATTAGATCCCAAATCATCTTTTCAATTTTTTTCTTTCTTTTTCCTCTTTTTTAAATTAAAAATGGGCATAAACCTAAGAAATTAAAATCCTAAAAATCATGGGAAAACAAACTATGCAACATGCCAATTATTTTTTTTTTTTAATTTTTGTATGAAAAAAAGAGGGATCAAAAATGAATTATGACATGCGCTTAAGAGGATCCTTAATTTACACAAATTTCAATTAGAAGCTTTTGTATGACAAGAAAAAGTCCGTTTATCCTCGACATAAAGATGAATATACCCTTTTATCCATACAAGTTGATCATATCTACAACTATATAATGATTAACATGACACACCTATAAAAAGTTATGCCTTTTACACTCTACACACATATAAAATAGTATTTTATATCTACTTCAAATATAGAAAAAATATATTGTTAATTCTGTTCAAGCTAAACTCATGAAATATATACTATTAAGTATAATTAAGCCAAACACTTCACTTCGTATGTTAAGTTAACTATCGGAGGGTCATCCAAGCATCGAAGTAGAATTTTTTTTCGCCAAATACACACCATAGGACTCCAAGACATTAATGAATCTCCACCCTATGATCAATCAAAAAGAAACTACATCCAACCGTTCAAGTAATTTGAGGATCATGACCTCATCAAGAGGAAACAAGTAACCGTGTGGTAATTGTTTTATTTTTTAACTTATTGAGTTTGAATTTTAAGATAAAAAAATATATTTTTAAATGCATATGCCAATATGAGAAATGTAGCTTTAAGATTATTTAAAAAGCCAAATATAATGTTTATTATCGTGTCAATAGATTCAATGATATCTATGACAATAGAATAAAAGGGTGTCAATCTAATTTAAAAAATGATAAACTTGATTTTGATAAATGTGAAATTTGATTCAAAAATATTATACTATTTACAAGGCTTAAAAAAAAAAAAGAGAGAGAAAAAAAGACCTAACTAGTAAAAATAAGCTCGTGTTTATTAATTTAAAATAATACGATAAAGAAAATGGAACAATTAGTATATATCCAAAACGAGTGGGATTGTAAGGTTCACCCTACTCGTTCGCCTTTTTCTTTTCGAGTGCTGATTAGTTTTTCTTTTTCTTTTTTCAAGTTATTGTGAATGAATATTGTTAACTTTTTCTTTCTTTCTTTCTTTCTTTTAAGTTGTTGTGAATACATGTCCCCCCTTTCCATCAAGTTAGGTTCTTTTTTTATTTAATTTTTTTAAAAAAAATTTACGTTGTTTCATTTTGATCTCTAAAATTTTTAAATAAAAATTTATGCTCTTTTTTCCTTTAACCGATGCACTACTCATGTCTTTTTTTTTTCCTTTGCTTTTTTTCATCAATTTCTGTTCTCTTTTCTTTATTTAATTAGGTGTTAAAATTTTAAAAAATCAATCTTGATTTTTTTTCCACATAAACCGACAATGATATAATATATACGATATTTTTTACAATTATACAATATGTTTTTAGACTTTATTACGATATATTTTTTCAAGTTGTTTCACTATATATGCATTTTCTTTTCTTTTTCCTCTCGCTTTTTTTTCATCAATTTAGGTTTTTTTTTTTTAGGTTGTTTTATTTTGTTCTCTAAAATTTTAAAATAAAACTTTTAATTCTAGAATCGATGCATTACTAATACCTTTTTTTTTCCTTTTCTCTTTTCCTTTGCTTTTTTTCCATCAATTTATGCTCTCTTTTTTTATTTAATTAGGTGTTAAAATTTTAAAAAATCAATCGTTGGTTTTTTTTCACACAAACCGATGCTTTTTTTTCTTTGCTTTTTTCATCAATTTATTTTTTTTATTTAATTAGATTTTAAAATTTTGAAAAATCAATCGTTATATTTTTTTACACAAACCGATGATTATATAATATATACGATACTTTTTACATTTATACAATATGTTTTTAGATTTTAGAATAAATATAAACTACTCTTATTGTTTAAAATTGATTTTTTCGATAAAAATTCTTATCAAGTTAATTTTTATTCTTATTTTTTTATAATTTTATTTATTAATAAATATAAATTATTTTCTCTTTGTATAGATTCGAATAAGTTTTTTAATACCTATTTTTATTTGCTTAATTCTTATATAATCAAATTTTAAAAATTGAATATATGTATTTTATTTTTTTATTTTTTATAAAATCAAATTTTATATAAATCATTTTTATAGTTTTTACTGTACTCGTATTAACTTCAATATATATTTTATCATTTAATTTTTTAAAATATTTTTTAATTTATTTTATACATTCTAATCTATTGAGTACGGTCATAATAAATCAAAAATGATAACATTTGAGTCATTGATTTTATTAAAAATCAATTATGCATCTACACACACAATACCGGCTATTTAGTATTTCTTTTAATATTGAAAATAATTTTTTCAAATAAAATAATTGAAATAATATTTTAGAATAATTGCATAATAATTCAAATACAATTTTATATACTAATATTATTCATTATTTTGTAAATAAGTATATATAAATCAAATGTATATACTTAAACAAATAATCTTCTCATTAGTAAAAAACTTTCATTTGTTAATTTTCAAACAAGTTTTTATATTAATTGTTACTTTATTTCTTCGATGCAATGTAATGAAAAAAATATTAAGATATTTTTCAAAATTTTATATTAAAATTTGCTTATTATGGGTTTTATTTAAGAATAAATGCATAAGAAAGAACAAATCATATTTTTTTTACTTCAAAATTTATTCAAAACATATATATGTAATTTTGATTAAAAATTATAAAATTAGATAAAATTTTATCTTTTATATTTAATTTAATATATTTTAATTAACCGATATTATCAAACGAAATAAATATATTTAATTCGGTTCGTAGTATAGCGTGAGAATCAAAACTATTCATATGTGTAAAATTCTTGTTCACTTATTGTTCATGTGCATAAAATTACTATTCACTTGATGACAATTTAAGTAATTTTTGTGCATTATTATTTTTTTTTTTTGTGTTTTTGGTCATTAATTCGCAAATTTAACGCTTTTTCCTATTTTCGTCTCTCATGTTATAACATTTTTTTTCAATCCTTAGTTTTCATTTTTCTTTCATTTTCACGCAACACACACATATATTATCTTATTATATTTTAAAATTAACATATACTTCAGCTGATATTGCTCTTATCATTTAAATTTCATTCTTTGAATTTATCATTTTTTTATGAAATCCTCATTCAATTAATATGTTTTGTATAAGATTTTATTTACTGATAAATATAATTTATTTTTCTCTATATTTGAATTTGAGAATAAAATTTTAAAAATAATTATTTTTTCTTTTTTTAAAAAAAATATATAATATATCATGAATTTTTATAATTTTTAAATGATAGTTGCGTATATATGAATATATAATTATTTTATTCTAAAAGGCTAAAAGTGTATTTCAAATAATTTGTTTCAATTCACTAAGTATGGTCAATACATATAAAAAAAAGAACTATTGAATCATTGATTTTATTAAAAATTAACTATACATCTTCCAACATAATACAAATTATTTACTATGAATGTTTTTTTTAACATTATAGAACCAATTTATTTGAAATAAAATAATTAAAATAATTTTTTAAAGGAACCAACTAATTATTCAAGTATATTTTTTATACTAATTTTGTTAATTATTTTGTAAATAAATATATATAGATCTAATGCATATACTTGGAAAAAAAAATCTTCTCGCCAACATTAAATAAAAATAAATTTTTATTTTTTCATTGGTTAATTTTTATGCAAGTCTATTCATTAATTGTAACTTTATTTTTTAGATACATTTTTTATAAAAAATATATATAATTTTAAAGTATTCACTTTTGATTTCTTAATTAATGTTTCAAGTTTAAATTATTATAAGTTTTTATTTAAGAATCCCTAAATAAAGAAGAATAAACCATGTTTTCTAAAACAAAAATTTTATGAAAAACACAATAAAAAGTAATAATTAAATAAAAAATTATAAAAATTTTAAATGATTTTGTTATGTCTACCGAGTAACGTTGAATGGATAATTTCAAAAATTAATCTTCTCATTAGCATTAAATAAGAAATTTTTTTAATTTGTTAATTTTTGTAAAAGTCTGTCCATTAATTATAACTTTATTTTTTCGAATACAATATTATGATAATTATATTTTTCAAGTTTTTTAATTCTTGATTAATATTTTAGTTAAAATTGTTATATTTTTATTTTAAAATCAATTCATAAAAAAAGAATGATTTATATTTTTTTAAGCAGAAAATTTATAAAAAAGCATTAAATAAATAAATTATATAAAAATTTATAATTAAAAATTTAAAATTTTAAAAATAATTGTTTTTATCAAACCTGCAGTGGAGTGTAGGCAAGTCATTGGTAAAAGATTTAATATCGTGAAGTAAAACTTAAATTGGAAAGCGTTTCGCTTCGTTTAGCCCATGTGTGCATGGGCATTAGTTTCCAGGTCTGGTCCGCGCTAGCCTGGCCCCTTTTAAGTTTATTTGTATTTCTTTATTTATTCAAATTCCAGTTAGAATTTGATTTTTTTTAAAAAAAAAAACAGTTGTTGTAAAGTTAATTAGGAGACATTTTTTTCCTTCGATAAAACGCATCCTTCAAATTATGTTAAAATTTAAGTCGGTTTTTGGAAAAACGGTGGGCTATGGTCTGCCTCCTGGACATGAGAACCCCGACTCCATTCCTTCCCATCTTGTAGCCAACCTTCTCCAAGCTTCTTTGTCTCTCAAGCCTTCTTTCAGGAAACTCATTTTTGATCTTGTTGAGGATCAAAAGGGGCACCCGCCACGTCGTGTAATCACAGACATGTTCCTTGGCTGGTGTGCAGCGATTGCAATTGAATTTGGTGCATTTCATGCGATATTTAGTGGACGTGGAGCTTTTTGGTTTAATTTATAATTTACTCAATATATACTGTAGTACTTATATATATATATATATATATATATATATATATATATATATATATATATATAAAGGTTAACATATATAGAATTATACGAAAAATTAAGTTAACTTATTCGCAAAATTAATCTTGTGATTTAATTAACCGTCAATTACTCATCAAGAGATCCACGACAAGATTTATTTAGTATAAAAGTCAATAAGATATTAAAAAAAATGATGGTTATATAAGGTAAATGCAGAGTTATTAACAACAAAATAAAGATTCATTGCTTAATAATTTCTCAATCGTTTATTTCTTCTCATAAAAAACTACGAAATATTTTTTTCGTTAATTTCATAAAAAGGAGTTTTATTAGTTTTTTCATACGGATTAAAAAATGTTAAATATTGCATCAACTCGTATATTTGTTGTTGTATTGATTGCATTATTCTTTAATATTAGATGTAGCTGAACAAAATATAATGTGAAATGAATTTTTTTAGAAGTAAAAGTAATCAATTTTGTTACTCAATTCTTTATTTTTATATAAGAAATATACATTTTAGGACATTTAAATAAAGAAAAAAATTTTCTTTAATTGTTTGATAAGAAATATAGTTTTTATTAAATACTTTTTTAAGGGAAATTGCTTTTACACAAGATGCAAAATTGCTTTTAATATTAAATTTAGCTGAACAAATTGACCCATGGATTGTGCAAACTTTCTTAAATTGTTCATAGGCCGTCACTAATTTAGTAATTTTGTGACGGTTCTTTTATTAAAAAAAGCTGGAAAAATTAATTTTTTTAAAATGAAATTAGCGATGATTTGTTTGAAAAAAATCATCCCTAATTTTCATTATTTGTGACGGCTTTTTTACAAAAACCGTTGGTCAATTAGTGATAATTTTTTGAAAATCATTACTAAAAATGATCGTTTCGGACCAAACCAATTTAGCGATGATTTTAAGACCATCGCTGATTTTTTCTTATAAATTTCTTTTTTTTTTTTTTAAGTGCAGGCCCCATAGCTCCATATTAATTTAAGCCTTTGAAGTGTAATTGTAAAAGCATATATGGAAATTTTGTGTGTGTATATATATAATTAAATATAAACCTAATCAAAATAATTTTTTTGTAAAGTTCTCTCTTTCAGCAAGAAATATAAATGTTCTATCACATTCCATCAATATATTTTCCTGAATCCAAATAATTTATTGTGAAGTTCTCTTTCAGCATAAATATATATATAACCAAATTAAAATTTTGAAGAATTAATTACTTTGAATTGATTTGAACTCTGATTGGAGTTAACCAAACAAATGTAACATGATTAGAAATTGGATCCGTAGCAATAGCGGAAAACTTCTCTAATTTAATTTTTAAACTACATTAAGTATATATCATGATCACCCGATGCGATTCTCCCATGCCTTTCAATTTGTACTCCATTATCGGAAAGACGGACAAACTACGAAAGGCAAATTTCTTCATTCCAAATTTGTTTTTCTTGGAACAGATTTGGTCTTTCTAGTTGGATATTAATTATAATTCAGTTTGTTTCCGCTTGCAGGGCCATATACTAATCTTAGTAATACATTCGCTTGTACGAATGAAGAAGAAACATGGGGCAGAGGTGAATGAGATGACCGCAACAGTAACAGAAACAAGATGGATTTTTATTTTCTGCTGCGTTGCAAACGAAAGATACATAAATAGATAAGGACGCAAGACTAATAATAATCAAGTAAAAACAGACACCGATGGATGACAGTAGTAATAGTGGACTCGCTCCAGTGGAGTGGAGACCCATCAAAAGCACAAAGCACCTATTTTATTACGATCCTCATGTCAGCTTTCCTGGATGCTGAATCTTGCTGCTCTATTACCTCATCACTTAATGCTGCAAGACAAGAAAAGAGAGATATTAGAAATTAAAAACTTTAAAATATTTTACAAACATTCATACATGGATAACAATTTATTTGTTTAGCATAGAAAATTGTCTAATTTACCAAACTAATTAATAGGGAAAATATAAAAACACTCTACTTTTTAATTAACATACAAATGCTTGAAAGGAAAAATAAGATACTAGTATATATATATATATATATATATATATATAGTAATAACATGCAAACCTGGCGCAGTTAGTGGAGGTGCTAATCTTGTAAGGAATATTAACACGGCAGAGACCAGGGAGAGCAGCTGCGTTGTTAGGATTCACCCCGCCAACTTTAGCGGCAGTTGTTTTTATGCAATTACAAGCATCCCGGCGATCTTGGGTGGTTTTGGCAGCGTTGTTAAGTGCCGCAACTCCTTGGCAGCAAGGGCCAGGAACCTGCCCCCCATTCCTCAGATAGCCAATGCACTGCGCCAAGTCACCGGCCACAACACTACAAGATAAGGCTTCAACGTTCAACATGGGGCCACAGAGCACCATGCATAGCAAGAGAGCACAGAACAACTTAGCAGTTGCCATGTTTCACAAATCACAACGTGTTTTTTTGGGTATTTGAGGGAGAATTATAAGGAGAAATGCTGGGGTAAGTGCGATTGTGGCAACTAGCAAGGAGGAGTGGTGTTTATATAGAAGAAGTTCGGACTGTGAACACAAGGAAATGGGTTCAATATGGATGGTTGTTGGCCCCATTTAATGACTTGCAATCAATTCAGAATTGAGACGACGCTAGCTGATATTAAAATTTTAATTACTCCAACATCCAAAAAAAAAAATCAAAAAAAGAGAAGAAAATTAATTAAACTTGATGTTTCAGAGAAAAAATTATCATTCTGGAGACCTCAAAATAAAAAAAATGTACCAAAAACCAATAAAAGGGGAAAAAAAGCATTGAAAGATGCCAAACGATAAGATTAAGTAGTAGGAGTTTATGAATTATATAGTCATTTTTAATCATCTTTGAACAATATTTGATTATGGTGCCAATAAAAATGATGGAGCCGTACAGCAGCTGATACTCAGGATAATTACAATATAAGTATATCAATATTTACTCAATTAATAATATAAATTTTAATTTTTTTATTTAAGCACATCAATATTTTTAGTGAAATGCATAAATTTTAATTATTTTAAATTAAGTATACTAGTTTTTTTGAAACTGTTAATTAAGTACTTTCGTCAATTTCTTTATTAATTGATAACGTATTGGAATACCAAATTACATTTTTTATTTACTTTTTATTATAAGGAATTTTCTTTTTAAATTATTTTATTATTTTAAAATTTGACAAAGATTAAAAAAATTATTTTTAATTATAAAATCTCGAATTAAACTTAATAAGGCTTGTTGTTAAAAAAAAAATAATTAGGTTTTTGGCGTAAAAATTAAAGGAAACACAAACATGAGTTTTTCACTAAGAAGATTCATCTGTATTTTTCTTTAATTTTCACTTTTAAACTTAATTGAGGTTTTTTTTCACAGCAACTAATTGAGTTTAGTTTAAAATTTTAAAGATAAAAAATATTTTTTTAATTATTTGCAAATTATAAAATAGTAAAACAATTTGAGGAGAAAGTTTTTTTTTTTTTTTACAAGAAGAAGATAAAAGTATAATTTCATATTTGAATAAGTTACCAATTAATGAAAAAAAATTGATGAAAATACTTTATTGATAATTTTAAAAAAATTGATGTATTCGAACGAAAAAAAAATTAAAATTCATGTAATCGATTGAGAAAGAAAAGTAAAACTATAATTTGGTATTTTGAGAGTATTATCTATCATCAATTAATAAAAAAAAAATTGATAAAAAAATTTAATTAATAATTTAAAAAAATTACTCATAATATATAAAAATATATATATATATATATATATATAGATATACATATATATATATATATATTATCTTGTACTTGTAACGAGTGTAAAGAACAAAAATGGAGGTGTACTAACTAGGTGTGTTCATTCGGTTTTTCAGTTCGGTTTCGGTGTTTTTTTCGATTTTCGGTTAACCAAATTTGCTAAAACAAAAATCGAAATCGAACCGAATTGTTGTTCGGTTTTTCGGTTAAAAACCAAATTATTTCGGTTCGGTTTTTCGATTTTCGGTTAAAAACTGTTTTTTTTTCTTTTTTTTCTTCTAAAAATCGAATTATTGCTTTTAAAAAATATCAAACTTGCATAATCAAAGATTGCATATTTCATATTTGATTTTATAAGAAAATTATGTATGATTATTATTATTTTTCTATAATAAATATGTTTCTATTTATATTATAAACTAAATTAGTTGGGCTTCTCATTATTTTTTCAATCACGCTATAATTGGTTTTTTATTAATTTTTCATATTCTTTTTTTTAATCTATTTATTTTGTACATATTTTATTGTTGAATATATAAAATGAAAAATTCAATTTTTAATGTATGTTTGTGCCAATTTTAATACAAAGAGACAATTTTTTTTTCATGAGGTTTTAGGATTCACCTATAAATTTGTGTTTTCATAAAGAATTTCTTTATCACAGCTTTTTTTTTTTTTGTGAGTAAATATAATATAATCAATTATTTTTTATTTCAATAAATAATTAATGAAAAATATTTCTATTTTAAGTAGAAAAAAATCATTAAAGCTATTGTTCTTTTAGTTAAACCCATAGGTGCCTCTTTGATTTTTTTTTAAAAAAAAGAGTTTGAGTATGTGTTTAAAAAAAAAAAACTAATTCGGTTTTCAGTGAAAACCGAATTTGAAAAAAAAACCGAACCGAATCGAAATAATTTCGATTTTCAATTTTGATTTTTTTTAAAATTTTATTTTAAAAAAACAAACTGAAATTGTTAATTCGGTTCGATTCGATATTTCGATTTTAACCGAATATTGAACACCTCTAGGTGTACGACGTGCTCTGCAACGTGGCCTACATGGCTCCAGTGAAATAAAAGCGCGCTAACTGCCGATGCAATATAGAGGAGGGTTTTGTTAAAGGGTTTGGGATATTAAAACACACTCACGCGCGGTTTACTTAAGCACGAATACGTAAGACATTTTGGTCTTAAACTCTTATAATGATGCAAATAAATCTTTAAATAAACAAGAAATTTTACTATTTTCTTCTTCTTACCTTCAAAGAATTCAACATGTACGTTTTAATTTTTTAAACTAAAATTTTACCATTACACATTATATGTTCCAATTCAGAAAGCAAATACTAAGCAGATAATACATAATCCAATTGGGATTTGTAAGCCCGCAATGTTGCCAAACAAAATCACAAAATGGATTTATTAATTTGAGGTAATAAATAAAGTTAATAATTTTAAAATTTTAATTCGGTAGCAAAATAATATTACAATAAGAAGTTACAGAAATACATGAACATTCGCAGTTAAAATTCGTAAGAAAAGAAAGAAGAATATGAGAGAAACTTGAACATAAGACTATGTAACATGACTTTTTTTTACAGATTATACATGTGAGTTTTTTCATCACTGTTATAAAATAATAATTTTTTTAGTAAGATATTGTAAAATAAGGCATAATGTGATGTTTTTCTATAAACTTGTGTATCAAATAAATGTAACTATAAGTGAACACTAAGGAATATAGGTGCTGCTTTTCTTAAAGCTAAGAGTAAGCTTATGAAGATTAATTTTTATTTTGTAAGTGAACACTATGGAATCCTTTTTTTTTAGCTGTTTAGAGACAAGCTGAGAGTTTGTTTACAAAACCTGCTCAGCTTTGGCGGGGGTATTAGGATCATAATGGAATGCGACAAGAATTTGAAGTATAAATTATCTAATGTTATCAAATTCCAGCGACAAGAACATACTCATGTATAAATATTGAAATATGCATCAATATATGACATTTTTTGTTACAACTTTAAACAATTTTACAGAGTATTTAAAAAATATAAGTTGGATATATTAGGATTTGGTAAAGAGTGAAAGAGGGGGAGGGCAGGCTCAAACCTTGGTCTTCGACGTGGGGATAATTAATTTGATTTACCAGTTCAACTACCCTCACTTGCCTGATATAAGAAATTGATGAAGTATATAAATCCTAAGATGTAGGCTTACGTGACAAATCATATCGGCTCGTAACAAATGGATTTGATGCAAAAAAATTTCTAGTAAATAAATATTAATTTAGATATAAATACTCTCTGTCTATAGCTAGTAGACATTCTTTTCCTGTCAATTTAATATCTGACCTACCGCCCTTCACCCCACGAAAATACTGAAGAAAAAGAAAAAATAAATTCAAGTCAAAACACGTAACAGCCAGGCAGTAGCAGCACTCTCTGATACAGGGAAGGGCCAATTTTTTCTTCATCACGGTTCCCAAGACATTAATGTGGAAGAAGATGCAGGGCACCGATGCAGAAGGAGTAAAGGGCATGAAATGGCACACGTAACATCAATCTGACACGTGTCCTCTAAGACTTGGTTTTGGTGATCTGTCTGTCTTTTCTGTCAAGAAGTTATTGCATCACACACATGCAGCAGCAGGAACAATAGTCAAGCTATGATGGATTCGTCGGGTTGGTTCCGATTTTTGTTTTGGATTGGACCGACGTAGGGATGGCAATAAGACAGGGCGGGGCGGGAATTGTTTTCCAATCCCCGCCCCGTCCCTAATAAAAAAAACTTATTTTTATCTCGTGTATAGTTTAAGGTGAAATTTTATTTTTTATCTCCGTCCTAAATGAGATAGAATGGAACGTAATTTCATCAAATTATTTTTTAAAAAATAAAAAGATAGGGCAGAGATGACCATTTCCATCTCTGCTTTGCTCCACCCTTTAAAAAAAAAAAAAAAACCATTCTCATCTCGTATCTAGTTCGAAGTAAAATTTCACACCCTATATGGAATGGTAGGGTTGAATTGCCATCCCTACCAACACGTGTACGTAGTCATCTCGTGATGTATCTTCTCGTCCTTAGAAATGTTTTCGGGCTTTTCTGCCATAAAACCTGCCTCCCCTACAGACCCTAAGCAGTGCTCCTAGGGCGTGACAGTACTCGAAAACGAGACCCATCTCTTTAAATGCTTTGCCCGTCTCCATGTCCTACTAGTTACTTCGGGAACTTGCCTATCGAAAGTCTTTCTATTCCATAGTAGGATTTAGAATACTTTACACGTTAATTTTTTCATTAAATAGGGTTAAGGGTGCATTCTCGTATTTATCAAATATATCTAAAAGGATCATTTTAAAACAAATTCAAAAATTTAAGAAAAAGAACAACCTGCGTTATCACAAGTTAAATCCCTTACTGCCACTCAATTGCAAATTGAATTTGATTTTATTCCGTAATTAGAACTAATTAGGTTTATATATATATATATATATATATATATAAGAAAAATTAGGTTGCTACAAGTTACTCTCTTCAATCAATCAAATTCAGAATTTATTGTAGATGTTACTGGCTGGATAGCCCTACTGGGCCCAATGCCCATGTTCACGTGAACGCTAAAAGATGTGTCCTGAAAAGTTAGGACTGGTTAAAGGATATTATTCGGAGTTCGTCAAATAAAATTGCCGGCCTTTTGCTTTTCGGTTTTTTTTTTTTTTAATACATGGTCAAATGATAAACAGGAGCTGGTAGGGGTAGATGACCGACCCATATTAGATGGCATGAAAAAGTAGAGGACAAAAATGCCTGTGATTTTGTTTTTTAACAAAAATAGAAAAAGTTACCTAAAACTACAGTAACATGGAAGATGGTTAATAAATTCAAATATGTCAGCCGACATCATGGCTTGTATTTCCTGCTGAACATATTCGAAAATATAACGCAACGTGCTGATTGTAAAAGAGAATAAATAAATTTTAATTTGTGTACTTGAAATTTATATATTTTCTCAATTTCAGTTAAAAAGTTTGGTTGTTTCAATTAGATTTTATACTTTTTATTTTATTTTTAATTAGCTTCCAAATCTTTTATTTTTATTTCTATCCATTTCTACATCTTTCATTTTTGTTCTAACTTCTCTTGTCGGTTTATTTTTGACTAGTATGTGAATTTCAATTTCATTCCTGAAATTTAAAAAATATATCAATACTATTTAAAAAAATAAATAATTAAAATTAAAAAATAAAATGAAAAATCAATAAAAAAATTTATTAAAAAAATATGATAAAACTTGAAAGGGTTAGTTTTAAAAAATTTTTTATCAATTTTAATTTCACTTAGCAACATCATTTTTTTCTTTATCAAGACCGTAGTTAAATAAAGTTCAAGGTTCAAATTGATTTAACTCTCTTTTTTTTCTTTCTTCAAAATTTTACTATTGTGATCTCTCTCAACTATAATGTCTTTTTTTTTTTTATGTTGTTATCAAATGGCTTTTTTAATATGTGTAAATAATCACACTTTAGATGATGCTAAAATTAATTTTTTAAAGAATTTTTGTTAAATAGTTTAATAGAAATTTGGATATAAAATTAAAAAATATAGATGAAATGCTAGTAAGAGAATGTAAGATAGACAACAACAATGCTGATTGATATGTTTTATTAAAAGATATTTGTATTATATTTTTTAACTTAATTTTATTCTTGTATCCTTCTATCCGTACTATAAGATAATGTTGACGAAAAAAATATTTGTTAATAATATTTATTTTATTAAAAAATATCTTTTTTAATAGTTTTTTTAATTTTAATTTATTCATTCTTATCTTTTGATTTATACTGATATATTTCATAAATTTTAAAGACTACAGAGGAAAAAAAATCCAAATCTAATTGAAACAAGTCAAAGATTTTAAATTAAATTTAAAAAACGTATAAATAAAACTAAAGAAACTTAATTGAAATTTACCAAAAAAAAAATGCAATGCAATAATGACAATCAAAATGTACCATAAAAGGTTGGGAAGCGAAGAAATACATGTAGAGCAACTCAACTTTGGGGAAGATAAAGGTGAAAATGATTTAATAAATGGTAAAAATAAAAGAGTCGTGTTTGAAAAGCATTATAGGCAAAGATTGAGTCAGCATGAGCTAAACAACCATAAAATGCAACTTGCTTGACTGAAAAAGTAAAATGATAAGAACATGGCATGATTTACTTTAATCTTTCTCAAACACCCTCTTCTTTTTTATTTTTGTTTTTGGGAGATTGAAGCTTCTGTGAGGCCATGATCAACAATCTATATATTAATGGTGAAGGTCGATCCTAAACTTAGAAACAAAACTAAGATAAAAGAAATTAGAATTAACTTAGCCTTGAAATAAGAAAACTTTTTCTGTTTTCTTTCGGAAGAAAGTGCGGGGATGATTTTCGTAAGAATGTTTTGAGTAATGAATTAGTATCCAGAAACAAAAATAGTCGATAATGCAGTATCAACAAGAGGGGAGGGAGAGAAATTTGCACTGGGCCTCAAGGAACAGAAAACTATGGGCTAACCCCCTATCATATTTCTTCTATTCACTATAACTTTCCCGGTAAGTTTGGGCCGAAAAAGGCCTTTTATCACGAGTAGCTTTTGAAAGTTTTAACCAAAAAGCCCAAAACCATCATCTCATGAAGAATCCTTTAAATCACGTGGAAAAAAATGATCAAATAGGTCAACAATCCTTTGGTGTTTTGTCACCATCTTTAGTTCATGGCTTTACCGCATACAAAATGAAATCAGTCTCATGCTCAGATATAGGCTCTCAAAACCTTGAATATTTCTAAAGTCTAAACTCCCCAAAGCATTAATTGCTCCAAAACCAAACTCTGGGAAATTTGGAAGAATTCTCATCGGGCATAAAACCCAAGTTTGGCAACGGCCTAGTTAGAAGTCACAAGTTAAGTTGCCTTTGATATCAATATTTTGATAGGCCAATTCTCTTTGGGTTGCATCGAAGACCCAATTCTTGCTTCAAAATGCCTCCACTGCGGTCTATATACTATGGTATATCGTCAAGAAGACCAAATATTTTTAGACACGTAAAAGCTGGTGGATGGTTGATACAGCTCAGCTTTGACACGTCACTGCTATACTTATTTGGTGGGCCAGCATGTCAACGGCCATCCAATAATATATTATATTAATGGTAGCTAACCTAACAAATCCTTGCTCACATGTGGTCAATCTGGTCAACCCTCCAATAGTTAGCTGACATGTCAACTGGATCTTTTCTTCTTTTAGAGAGGACTAGATACCCTTGCATAAGATCAAGGCCCCCGTCCCCGTGACTATACTAAATACCTTTGCCATGATTGTTAGGACCATTTTGGATAGAAATCAAAGCCAACCATTTGATTTCCTTTGCTCATTATTTAACCTTCCAGTACTCCTTTTTTTTCTTTTTTTTTTGGCAAGAAAACAGGATTAGAAATGTAAGCTAATCTCAAACTTCTGACAATTGCTTTCATCAGATACAAAAATGAATTATACATTTCTTCTTGAATTTCCACAACTATAGCACTTAAATCTCAGACTATATCACATCTTAGTTATAGCCCAAATTTTTACTACTTGTTCTAATTCTCGATCGGGGTTAATTTTTTATTTCTCTTAAGCAAGAAACTTTTAAAAGAAAGCAATTCTTCATGTTCTGAAATTTATTATGAAAGGAAGGAAGATGTGTGCAATAGTTCCATCAAATTCGTAAGAAATTTATCTAAAAGAGATGCACAAACAAACTTAATTATAATTGGTTTAATGCAGAGTTGAGAAGCACCCAAAAAATTTTTTTAAAAAAAATTTGAAATGCCCAAAACTTTACAAATTCTTAAAAAGGTTGACATTTGAGTTGTGGTTGACACGTCCGTACTATTCATTTTGGAATGTTTTTAGACTAAATATAATAAAATAAATCAGAAGCTTTTCTTAAGTCATATTTTGTTGGTGCTAACAATGAGGTAAATGTGAGGATAATTAAAAGAAAGAATGCATGCGGTGAGGAAAGGGCCATGTACGTGATTTAGAGAGGAGGGACCAAATTTATTGAATTCACAGGCATGTGTGCATGCTAATTGCTAAATGACGAAGCAGCTAGCATCTTTGGCAGTTAGGGTTGGCTCTAATTATTATAGTTCTAACGTGACTGCCTCTAACTTGGTTGTGATAATAAACAAATGCCTAAAACTCTACACTACTAATTGGGACACTAAATTCCCTTCCCTCTTGTATAAATAGCCATCACCATTTCTCCTACTACACTCAAGCTTTTTTGTGCCTTTACTTGTCCTTTCTAGTACTAGCTTGTTTCTTTGAATTAGTAACAACACAAAAAAATTGATGGCAATTAAAGCAATGCAAGTTTTTGTATTCCTTCAGTTGTTTCTTCTTGTATTCAGCTTTTGCCTTCTACATGGCGCTTATGGAGACTACGGTGGCTGGCAGATTGGTCATGCCACATTCTACGGTGGTAGTGACGCTTCTGGCACGATGGGTAAGCTATAAGCACAATAGAGTGCTGCCACTGCATTATGATTTTAGTTGTTTGTGCATAGATAAAGTGCGCATTTGAATGCGTAAGATTCATATGTGTATGTCGTGCACGTATGGTCGAGTTCGAATTAACAGTTCGTGATTAATCACAAGATGAATTTTTGGATTGCAATTCTTTCCATCTAGTATGTTAATTTATCTTTAAGTCTTGCATGCATTGGCCTAGTGTTTCTTATAAGACCTGGTACTGTTTTCAGGGGGAGCTTGTGGGTATGGGAACTTGTACAGCCAAGGATATGGAACAAGAACTGCAGCTCTAAGCACTGCCCTGTTCAACAATGGCTTGAGCTGTGGTGCATGCTTCCAGATACGCTGCAACAATGATCCTCAATGGTGCCATTCTGGTACCATTACCGTCACAGCTACCAACTTTTGTCCTCCTAATTATGCTCTGTCTAATGACAATGGTGGCTGGTGCAATCCCCCTCTCCAACATTTTGATTTGGCACAGCCTGCTTTCTTGCAAATTGCACAATATCGAGCAGGAATTGTTCCAGTGCTCTTCAGAAGGTATTTTGAAGACATCCTTAGTAGCATGATCATGGTTTAAGCCATGACCACGCCTTAGTCTAGTCTACCCAGAAGTTCTAACGCTGTTGCTTAATGTTTGACAGTTTGAAACAGCATCATTTTATAATTTGTTTGTGGTTTTTTGACAGGGTCCCATGTGTGAAGAAAGGAGGCATAAGGTTCACCGTTAATGGTCATTCTTACTTCAACTTGGTCTTGATAACCAATGTGGCTGGCGCAGGTGATATTCATGCTGTGTCTATCAAGGGATCTGGAACTGGGTGGCAAACCATGTCAAGAAATTGGGGCCAAAACTGGCAGAGCAACTCATATCTCAATGGTCAAAGCCTCTCCTTCAGAGTCACAACCAGTGATGGCAGGACTGTTACCAGCTACAATGTTGTGCCTGCAAATTGGCAATTTGGACAAACTTTTGAAGGAGGCCAATTCTAGTAAAGTTAGTGTCCATGAAGATTTGTTTCAAGTTGAAAGAATATGTAGTATGTGTGTGGCCGGTTATGCTCAGGTAGCCAAAGGCACCAAGGCTTTCCAGTGCTAGTATGTATTAATTCCCAACTTTGTCAAGTATGGGATGGAATAAGAGACCAGTTTTACCTATTCACACTCTACACTTCAAATTGATCTGCACTCAGCCAATATGGAGTATTTGAACAATGATGTTACCTAAGAACACAATTCAGGTATAAACAGAGCCCAAAAAAGACAAGGCTCTGCTTGGTCCTAAGTTACAGTAATTATTTGTTTACCTTTAAAAAGTAGAAGCGTTAGGCAAAAACTTGCTTTTTTTCCTTTCCTTTTTTTTTTATTTTTTTTCCTGAGAAAAAACAAGTAAAAACTGCTTATGAAAAAAGCATCACTCACTCTACTCTTATAACCAATTAAAATGGATGCTTTACTTACAAGCATAACAGGGCAAAACAGACCTGCATGCATCATGATGAATCTCAGGTGCAACTCTGCACACTCGTGAGAAGGGCAGCCACTGCTTTCGTTGAGGGCAAAAATACTTCGAAAGATAAGAGATCAAAAGACTCAACTAAAGAATTTGGAGTTCTATTATACTGTAGGCATATGAACAATCACATTTAGAGGCAGCTCCTACATCCCTTCATCACTTATCAAAGAGAACTTCTCTACAAAATTAACAGCTTAAAGAGACAACAGACTTCACCTTCGACTTTGGAATAATCCTACCCAAAAACCACCTACTTACAAATCCTCATGCATTCAACTGAGCTGATCATGTTTCAAGAGTTTACACACACGATGACCACAAGTTCTTCTGCATCAAAAACACCACCTCTATAGTACAACATGGCACATCAGCATATAAACCATAATTCTAAGCTCAAAAATTCAGTAAGGAGTATTTCACCCTCAAAACTATTCTGCCTTTCTCTACACCAAGCTTTCCACCTGTAACTAGCCAATGTCCTGGGGGATCTTGCGGCCCTTTGCTCATCTCGGACATATCAACAAACTTTGCCAACTTGTTCCCAACCACATTTCCTCTTGCGGCTGAACTTGAGTCACCAGAGTTAGTATTATTTACAGCAGGGACTTTCTTTGACTTGTCATTTGGCATGTGGTCCCACAAGGATCTTCGTATTGTGCAGCACGGTAGCCTAGAATACAAAAGTTTCATGTGTAAGACATTTCTTGAACCAAAATCCCACACTCCAAGTTGAGCCCCAGTGACAATGAAGGCACCAGATTGGTCACCAATAAAGGTTTCGGGATTCTCAACTGGAGCAGTGCTCACATGAGAGAAATTCTTCCATTTCACTGGTTCAAACCATCGGCTATCCTGCTCCTCAGGTCCCTGCCACTTGGGAGCACCAATTGCAACATGAGTGTCCCAGTATGGCAGAAGGATTTTTGGAAGAGATGCTAAGTGTTGAAGATTGATACGCAGGCGATTTTGCTTGGCTCCTTCCAGACATAATCGCAAACCTGTGACAGGCTTGCGCCCTACTGATATCTGCAGCCAATTTTAAGCCAAAATCAAAAACCAAATTTTGTCGAGGTTTACCCTTTGCATTAGCTAGTAGGATTGTCTTTGGTTAAATTAGACAACTAATGGTCACAACTGAAGAATCACGACCCCTCTATGGAGGATCCAATTAACAGTAATAAATTGGTTGTAGACCACTATCTATAAATTTCGGTAGCCACATATATTTTATGAAATACAAGAATACCTAGTAAACTCTTTAATGCTGTTCCCCTCCCCCTCCAAAAAAAATGTAAATATTTGAGCCATCTTTTACTCGAGGCAAAAAAAAGTATAGAAAGGCAACAAAAGAATGTCTACCTGCTCCTGACTGACATAAAGCTTTTGCCCCATCATGCTGAACTGTAAAGATGGGCAAACAGGTTCCTTTCTTTGGCGGCCTGGAATGTTTTCCTGTACAGGTGCCCAAATTCGAGGAATCTGGAACTCCAGAAAATATCTCAGCTCTTCTATCTGAGGTTTATCTGGGCACAATTGTTCAAAAAAGAGTTGCAGTTAGGAGTAGCACTACCTATTAGAAAAACAGCACATGAGAGGGAGAGGCTTCTAACTAAATAGCCATCTATTGGTCTTACATTCAAGATATAGAGCAATTGCACGACTCAGATGCTCCTTTCCAGGTGCCCCAACAAGGAGATCTGTGATAGGAACAAATTCCATCTCAATGACATCTGGAGATGACTGTACAGTTCTCGCCCATCGGATATGATTTTGCTCCAAATCATCTCCTCCCCTCCTGCGGAAAATGACTGTAACATCCTGCAAAACAATAATAACAGAACAAATCTTTAAGGCTTCATGTTGATCAATCAAAGCAAGGTTTAGAACATCAGCAATAAACAATGATTAACTGTATAGGAATGATTTCTTGACAAAAAGAGAATTCAGACTGCATTCATGCAAAACAAGAGTTGGTCACCAGAGACGACTTCTCAAATGCAATAAACTGAGATAGAATACTGAACAAGGAGAGACCCTTTTTTTCCTGATAAATCATGAAAAAAATTGCAAGCAAACCTTTTCGACAAAAAACATTTGCTAATTCATTCCAAATCCAACCAATGCATACTGGAAAACATCATTGCAATTGGATTACTGTAGAAGACAAAATCCAAACAATGAACAAAATGGAAAATACAAAGAGATATTTGCAAGCAAACCTTTTTAAAAGAAAAAAGACAACCACGTGCAATTATTCCAATTTCAACTGATGAATAATGGAAAACATAGTCGCAATTGGAGTACCACACAGACTAAATTCAGCAAAGGAACTGGAATGGGAACTACAAGACAAAAGCATGCAGTAAAGCCTTGTATGCTCAGTTGATGCATGTGGTAAAAACATTCAGGGAAATTATGTTTCGATGGAAATACTATGTTCCATCAAGCGTCTTCATATAAAAAATCTTATATTCATTAAAATGACAACAAAAGGCATCACAAAACAGTTCAACAAAGAGAACATTTAACATCAGAACTTCAGCAAGGAAAAAGAGTGACTGTAGCTAAGAAGCATACTTCTTTTCCAGTAAGATATGGTGCACTAGTTGGCTGAGGGTATATCCCTTGGCTGTTAAATATGCCTGAATCACCAACCTGCTATATCAAGAATAATCCGAGTGACAGGCGATCAAGAAGTAAGGAAATGTTAAGGAAGGTAGACAAAGAAATGAGGAAATATCCTGGGACTAGCCTTATCCTTGAGTTTCATTGGACCCGAACTTGTATGACTCTCTGTGTCAGAGAACCTCTGGTTTCCAATATCCTGTACGTAGTGTTTAATCTCCAGGGTTGACAAAGGCGATGAGTGGTGTTGTTTAACATATATCATATCCTTACCACCAATAGTTACAGAAGTTATGACATGCGTCCCAAAATTTTCAATGAAGCTGGCAGAAAAGGATGCAATTGTTACCGACAATTCAAAAGCTGTGATGCCAATATAATCCTTCAGAGAATTAAAAATTCATACCTCGCCAAGGATGGAGGATCCCAACAGGCTGGCACAGCCCGTTTAACATTGTCATGCAACACTAAGGGGGATCTCATAAGCTGGACCTTGGCTAGAGGGATATAATATCCATCCGTCGAGAGGGTCTTTGTAGATGCAGCATCGATATGCTTTGACCCAGTAAAACTAAACGCAGAATTGAAGCTACCTAGAGGAAGACCTCCTGATAGATTAGCCTTTTGATTAAAGTACTCCACCATCTGCATTACTTGTCGTGAGAAGTGCATTAGAACAACTACAATGATTTCATTCATTTAAAACAGCTTGTATCAGTTTTTGAAGGGAAAATATCAATGCAATTCATTTAGCAATCAATTGTTAACGCTATGGAAGTTTGGCTACTGATATTTTATCTCAATCATTTTTAAGCTTAAAAAAAAAAACAATCATCGGATTCTAGACAATTACGAGTAACCACTCGCTACGAATCAACCAATGGAGATGATGTCTTAACTCTCAGTTTGCATTTTGCGACTGTAGAAATAATTCACTACAGACACACAAACACCCAAAGATGGTTAAAGTTCTCTGATGAGATACAATCCAAAAGTTCAAACACAAGATCTTCACCGATGCTCTCAGGGACATTAATTAACACTACAAGAAAACAATCCGAGAATATATAAAATAACAAAGTTTTGGACACATGCAATAACTCAGTGACAATAAACTTCAGAAATAATCCAATAGACAAGTTAAATTCTCCATCCACTTGGTACTGGTGACCAAACCAAACCAATCCTACTTGATTTCTAAGCAACTAAATTTATCAAGTTCAATTCAAGCTATCTTAGACACCACTATAACCTAATCTTCAAAGCCTCCAATAACAAAAATGGATTCTTACAACACAGGAAAAGAAGAGAACTTCAAAATAAAAACCAGAAAGAATTAGAAACCCACCTCGTGAAAAGTGCAAACACCTGAACTCTGGCGTCCAATTGGGTCCAAAGAGTTCTTGATGTCCCTGGAAACATTAGGCAATACAATCCCACCGTACAACAAAAGATCTCTACTATGTTCCTGATCAATCTCCACCACTTTAGACCCAGCAACTCCTTTACAATACAACAACCTTGTATCATAGTTCACATCAAACCCTCTCCCAAGTGCTTGCACAGCGTTCATAGCTGTGTGCATTCCTGCTGCATTAACACTTCCATTCTCTCCCATTTCAGCTAAAACCACAATTCTTTGACAACCATTTAGAGCCCAAAGAACCAATCTTTTCCTTCCATTTTCTTGATGAGTTGAAATATCAAACTCTTACCTTAAAACCCATTATTTCTTGTTTCTTGAATTGACTGAGAAGAAGTCTTCAAAGAAATTTCAATGAATTATTCCTCCAGATCTTGAATCCATTGAAAAGAAAGCAGTAAAAATCTGACCTTGAATGAAGCGACAAACGGTACGAAAACCTTCTATCTTTCTCTTGAGTTTGTTTATTCTACTTCTAGCTCTACTATGTTATCCTGTAATTTAAAATACAAAAAGAATTGACTTCAAGTCTTCGATTTTTACGGAAATGTAATTTTCTTAATGTTGGCGTGTACTTGGCCTTGAAATTTTCTGGTCTAACTTATTTTGGATTGTGACATGTGGATGCTAATTAATTCATCGGATGGTGCTGTGATCCGAAGCAATCAAACCTAATCAATGAACTTTTCTTTTCTTTTCTTTTCTTTTCTTTTCTCTTTTTTCTTTTTCTTTCTTTTTCTCTTTTCCTTTCTTCTAACAAGTAATCCGTTTGATACCATTTCCTTTTTTTGGTTTTCTGTTTTTAGAAAACAAAAATTTATTTTTTGTTACAAAAGAAATGATAAAAATAGTAGAATTGAGGAGAAATATGATAAGAAATGAATTCACTATGAAATAAAGTGAATACAAGTGATAAGAACTTCAAATAATTCTCTCAATCTCTACAAAATGCTTCTATATCAACTAATGAACAATCAAACCTATTTATAGGCTCCAAGATTAAGGAGAGAATTGGAATGGACTATAAAATATTAAAAGATACATAAATAATTGAATAAATTACATCACCCTTTCAATTTCTAATATCAATTGAAAGGTGAATTAAATCACATTAAGAATAATGAGTAGTGGGAATGTGAAATGTTCATAGACATTCATTATTTCATAACACTCCACCTTGAATGGTAAAAGAAATGGTAAAAATAGTAGAATTGATGAAAAAGATGATAAGAAATGAATTCACTATGAAATAAAGTGAATACAAGTAATAAGAACTCCAAATAATTCTCTCAATCTCTACAAAATGCTTATATATCAACCAATGAACAATCAAACTTATTTATAGGCTTCAAGATTAGAGAGGGAATTGGAAGGGACTATAAAATATTAAAAGATACATAAATAATTGAATAAATTGCATCAATCTTTCAATTTCTCATATTGAATGGTGAATTAAATCACATTAAGAATAATAAGTAATAGGAATGTGAAATATTCATGGACATTCATTATTTCATAACACTTCTCCTTGAATGTTCATCGTACAAGGAACATGTCTCGTTAAAACCTTACTAGAAAAAAACTCAATGGGAAAAAATCCTAATGAATGAAAAAGAGTACAATATTCCTTATACACATTAATCTCAATGTTGGCCTTTGGCCTCTTCCTATTGAAAACATCGTTTGAGATCTTTAAGACAATGTATTTCAATCTTATGAATCATCTTCTCAAAAGTTGTGGTAAGTAATACCGTAATGAACAAATCTGTTAGATTGTCACTTGATCGAACCCTTCCTTTAATTGAATTATGCAAATAGCTCTATATTCATATGATGTTATTGAAACTTTTTTTTGTTGGTAAATAAACTATATGTCTCTCGGATATGATGGATTATTGACCTTAGCCAAACACATTCTCACTTGCCTTATGAATTAGTATTTTTACATGATTTGAATATTTACCGACTCTGGTTTGTTTCATAGAACGTCATGATATGACTATATCACTAAGTGTAAATACATAACTTGTTTGTGATCGAATTTTGTTTAGATCAAATAAATAACTCGCATCTACATAACTAATTAAACTCGATCACAAACGGATTATGAATTGGTATTTTTGCATGGTTTGAATATTTACTAGCTCGATTTACTTCATAGAACGCCATGATATAATTGTATCACCAAGTATAAATACATAATCCGTTTGTGATCGAGTTTTGTATAAATCAAATAAATGACTTGCATCTACATAACCAATTAAACTCGACTTTGATTTATTTGAGTGAAATAAATACCATATCAAATTTTCCTCGAAGATAACGTAGAAATGTTTAATTTCATTTTAATCTCCATATTGGAGTAGAACTATAACTTGCTAATAAATTTATAAAAATGGTTATATCGAGTCGAGTATTATTAGTAAGATATATCAATGCACTAATTGCATTAAGATATGATACTTCAATATCAAATAATTATTTGTTATCTTCTCAAGGTCGAAAAATGTCTTTTTGGATATCAAGTGAGTGAACTACCATTGGACTAGTCAATTGATGATTTTTATATAGAATAATTATAGAACTTTTTTTATATAAATTGACTAATGAATAAAAACATCATTTTCTAAGTGCTTGAACTACGAGTCGAGATAAAATTTTATTGCCCAAGGTATTTATATCAAATTCTCTTTTTAGTTAACTTATAACATTTGAAATCTCTTCAAGAGTTTCAATAATATTTAAATCATCATCATATATAGTAACTATCACAAACTCCTTTTTTGAATTTTTTTATTAAAATACATGAATAAATATGGCTATTTTTATAACCTTCTTTCAATAAATATTTATTGAAATAATTATACTACATACACATAGGTTAGTAATAAAGAGTAGATATTGAAAAATAAAAATAAACATAAAAAGTATAGCATAAATTGAATTTCTAAAAGTTAAAATAATAAAACTAATACTAAAATAATTTTGATAGAGATCTCTATAATTTAATTGAATTCATTCCTTGAGAATATGCATTACATGCTTCGGGCATCTTAAGTCCTTCTAGGACTTTTATATAGATATCATTTCAATTGAACAAATAAACTCGTGATCATATTTATTAAATGCATACATATGAACTTTTTCATATATTTTTCTAGGCTAATGAGATAACAAAATATAATTATATCCATTACAGGAGAATATGTCTCCTCATAGTCATTGTCGATTATTTACGAAAACTTTTATGTTAAAAGTTTTTTTTTGTATCTTATAATCACATCTCTCTTATTTCGTTTTCACATAAATACATATTTACACCCCCACTAGCTTAACATCTTCGGGTGTTTTAACTATGAGTTCAAAAACTATTCTTTTATAAGATAAAAAAATTCCGTCCGGATTGTTGTTTTCATTTAGATCAATTATCTTTATGTCGACATTCTTCAATAAATTTAGGCTTATGATCTCTATTTTCATTCAAGATATCAATTGAAACATTATATGTAAAAATCTTATCAATAAATGTTTCTTTTTAGTCGTATTTTCTCCTTGTATTGACATAATTTATCAAAGTCTCTTGATTTTTCTTAAGCATTTAGACTTCTTCTAGAAGTCATTATCGAAAATATCGTGAATCGTTTTATGAATATTTACATCCTTTATTTTAATTATTTTCCCTTTTCTTTTGAGGATTTTTGCTTTTATAACCGATCGATCTTCCACGCTTCGGACGTGCTTTAGATTCATTAGCTATAACATTAATAGATTGTCCTTCTAGGACATCAATTCTAATACGAGCATTTTCAGTAGAGACGTGCATTTTAGTTACTCATTTAGAATATGATAATGCATCCGACGAGTTTGTTTGCAATACTTATAAATAAATTATCTTTTAAACTTCTAGTTCACATTGTTTTGTACAAGATTCAATATGATATAAAGATAAAGTATTCCATGTAATCTTTTTTTTTAACATTTACAATCGCTTATTTTTCTTATTCTCTTTCCCCGATGTTGAAAAAATGGTTTCATCAAAATGATAGTCGATAAATCGAACTATAAAAATATCTCTTATTCATGGTTCAAGATATTGAATTATCGAAGTGGATTCAAATCCAACATATATTCCCAATCTCCTTTAAGCGTCAATTTTATTTTGTTATGGAGGAGTACTACGGATATATATTACAATGTCAAAAATTCTTAAATAAGAAATATTTGGCTTATGACCATAAATCAATTGAGGGGGAGATAATTTCGACAACTTATCGTTTGATGCGAATAAGTGTTACTCGCATTTAAGATTGCATGTCCCAAAGCATAAACATGGAGTTTTATTTTTAAATAATGGTTTAACTATCAATTGGAGCCTTTTGATAAATGATTTTGCTAAACCTTTCGAATATGAACATAAGAAACGAGGTTGTTCAACCTTTATTCTAATGGCAAGTCAATAATCATTTAATGCTTGAGAAATAAACTCATCGACATTATTAAGGTGATTTGTTTTAATGACATAATTTAGAAACTATACTTGTAATTGAATTATTTGAGCTAACAACCTAAAAAATATCGGGTTTCAAGTAGATAATAAACATACATGTGATCATTTTATGGATGTATGTATTAAAACTAAAAAAATATCTAAATGATCCGCATGATGGATAAATTGATCCACATATATCACCTTGAACTCATTCTAAAAATACTGAAGATTCAATCTCAATTTTACTTGTGATGGCTTAATAATTAATTTACCTTGAAAATATGAAAATTTATTAAATTGAAGAATTTTCCGGCTCTTCAATAGATGTCTATATGAATTTTTAATAATTTTTTGCATCATGAAAGACCCAAGATAATACAATTGGTCATGCCACATAATAAAATTATTTGAATTGGTAAACTTCGGTTTACTATAGCATTTGCTTCAATCATTTCAATATTTATAATAAAGACTAGAAGAGAAAGTCGGTAGATTTTTCAATACATATTTTCTACCCGATATAATGATTATAATATATAAGTATTCACATTTTCTATCTTGATATGATATCAATTTAGATGAATATCTTTGAAGCTCAACAAATTTGTATGACACTTTGAAAAGAATAGTACATCATTTATGATAAAATTTATCCTTTCGGATAATAACATATTTGCTCTTCTAGAGTCTTTAAATTATGTCACTT